TGATGATGATGATGATGATGATGATGATGATGATGATGATGATGATGATGATGATGATGATGATATTGGGTCGTACGTTGTCCGCCATTCAGCATTACTGACGCCTCTGACCTTTCAGTAGGATGTCGAAGATAAAGTGAGCAGTGCAGCTCATTTGGAAGATTTTCCAGGTGATGCGTTTGTCTTATCCCTAGATTTAGGTGCCGCTTTTCTAGGATGGAGACGGCATCCCTGATGTCCTCACATGTATGCATCTTGGTTGCTTCAATCGGAAGAATCCCAATTCGGATTTATTTCGAGCGTAAAACAATCTTCCGAGGTGTCAGTGCACACAAACTGTTCACTTCAGATGCCTTAACCTGAGCTTGGGACCGGTCAGTGTGTTCACTACACAGGGTTGGTCGACGTTCAGGCTCAGCATGGTGGGATTTTAGGGCGTGAACTTACTAACCGGAAGATCCGTGGTTCGAACCCAACCTCTGCACCTCGACTGCTTCTGTCTATCCTTTGACAACCTGACGGTATATCAGCTTCCTCCAGATGACTTTGGAGCTGGACAACAGAAGGTTGTTACAGCTGACTCAAGATGCCCATTTGAATATGTTTTTTAAGCTCTCGCCTAGACAAGCGATTGGGCAGTATTTAATTCTTTGGGTTTTCTGCGACTTCTATGTGACAGCGGTTTCTGACAGCTGACTGACAGCTGACTGACTCACTCCTAGCCCCTAACAATGCAACCAAGTTTCCTTCAATTCCACGATAAATGCTTTGCCTTACTGTACTGACTTTGGGACAGACAGCGCGTCAAAAGGTGAGATGCGGAGTAGGTTCTGTATTTTCAAACGTATCTAGGTCCCAGTGTTGTGTTGTCTAGTCTCTCTGCTGACCACAAATACACCCACCTTCCTTTTTACTTCACTGCCTCTGCCTTTCACGATTAGCCTATCGATTGTCAACAGTCCGAGGAGAATACAAACGCCTACAACCACGTATGGTCCATGCCAGAAAACGTGGAATTTACCACGACCTTGTACAGGAGTGAGAAAGCGCTGCAATTTGAGGAAAAAGAATGGATCTGTCAAATTGAAGAGGTAGGTAATTGTGTGGCCTTCTGTCCAGGCTTGGGCAACCTGGCTGTATCCTAGCCCTCGTGTTTCCTTCCCTTGGCATGGCAGTTAGGAACAGAAAGGGTGCTACGACTGGACAATTATTATTTATCATGTAATCCTGTGGCCGAACGCGTATTTTTCGTCTGTTCACACGGCCTCCGTGTTACTCCTTTTGCAATCGATCGAGGTCTGTTCATTGGTCAGATTGCACCTAATTAGTGGAGAATTTAAGAGAAGTTAAGCAGAAACGGAGTGGAAGTATTTACATTGAATCGACAGAAATCGCGGTATGTGCAACGACAACGACCGCATTCTCCTCGCGGTTATAGTTATTAGACACACACAAATGTTGTCATTGCCATTCTTGCGATGGAAATATACTGAGCTCAGTGTTTAGGGAGTGCACCTAGTGACCGGGAGGTTTTTGGCTTGAACTTTCATCTTTGGCTTGGGCAGCTTGGCATTATCTCAGCCACCGTGCTTCTCTCGGGTGGCATGATAGCTAGGCACCGAAAGGATGTTAAAGATGAACAAAACGATCATATAGTAATTGGTCTTATAAGTGAATGTATCCGTTGCACCACTGTGGAAAGGATCCAGAAGAATGGCGAAGAATGATCGGTTACGTGACCATCGAACCCGATATCTTGGCTCTTCTAGGGATATCCATCAATTTTCTATCGGTTCCCGGAAAGTTAATTCGTATTTGGTATCGCTTTGGTTTGTTTGGTTTGTAACAAATATATCTTGATGGATATATACTGACACGGGTTTTGTGGGCACAGTGAAAAGGTACATGAATGACTAATTGTTCTGCATCAGAATGCTCGTTTTCAACGCATGACTGCCTCTGAACAGTGCTGTCCTCATTATCTTCGAATTATCACTTTCTACATGGCACCGATGCAAGCTTCCAGCAGGCACTACCCAAACCCAGGTGGGAGCGATCAAACCTGGGAAGTCCCGGCTGGTAGCTTATTTGTTGATGCTTTAAGTTATCCGCACTTTCTCATTCTCAGGTTTATTATGAGCGTTGCGATGGTCGGAATGCCTGTGCTTTGGTACGTGGTTTACAGCATAAGGACGTAAATTGGTCTGATCACACTGACCATTGTCAACGATGCTTCGTATGCATGATAAAACTGCTGAAACGGGGACTTGATCGAGTCCCTCGTGGTCAGTTATCCACTATTGCTCCGCATAATGTGTAGCACATAGGCTTCCTCGGAGTAATTTTTTGCTTTCCTGTTTTTGAAATGAGTGTTATAAGAAAATTTCCCCAAATCTAGAAACAGCCCACTACCGGTTTCGCCATGTTTGGGGTTCACCTTGTAGGCGTACTCTCCGGAAGCATGGATAGTCAGTCAATTTTCAACCTGAACAGCAATTTGGTTGAATGTTTGCTCTTGAGTTCATATGCATGATGAAATTGCTGAGGCGGGAAGCTTGATGGTGTCCCTCGTAGTTAATAGCATATTGATATTCTTGTGCATAATGTGCAGAACACAGGCCTCCTTATCACAAGCTATCGTTTCACACTACTTATTTCAAGAACAATGAATACTTCATTGAACGTCTTTGGAACGGAATCTCCAAACAGCCCTTGTACGGCACATTATGTGGGGGAATACCAATATTAGTTGACTACGAGGGACTGTGGATATTCCAACCCCAGCATTTTAATCGTGCACATGAGCTCAAGAAAAAACATTCGAACAAATTATTGCTTAATTTGAGGACTGATTTCTCAGCTTCTGGGGACTACGTTTATCCGATGAAACGGTGGTGTTTCTGTTGTTGATAGTGCGTATACTGTGGTCTTTTGTGCTTATCGCATCCAGTCTGAAGTAACTGGTGGCTAACTAGCTAGCTAGAGTTTCACTGTTTCCTTGAGCTCATAGCTCAAGCATTCGTTTTAATTCAGTAGGTAACCTAGTTTCAGTTTAGTGAACCGGTTTCCCAGATACAAGAATGATGACTTAAATGGCCAGTCGGGGACTTTATTTGATGGGCCGTTGCACTGAGTGTGAAAGTTATTCACAACGGTCAATGTATAGAGCTACGTCTCGGCTCTATCCACTCTATTGGTTTTGCGTTTTTCTCTTCTACACGGACTCCTCTTAACTTGGCTATTCACTTCCATCTCACACTTCAGCAGAAGTGACAGCCGAAGAACCAAGTATCATCGGAAATCTCGCAGCGGGTGCACTTTGCATAACAAGGGTGTTATTTAGAGTTCCTTCTACTGTCGCTCTGTTGGATTTTGGCGCCATCAGTCTAATACCTCTGTGCTTGTCCCTCACAGGTTGGTGGTGCAGCGCAAGCGCGATTTGCTGGCCCAACAGTACGTCGTCGGGTTTTGGCCACTCGGCAAATAGAACTCTCCGAATTCGCTTCAGGCATACCAACCCAGACAAGTTTGAAAATCCAGCTTCGACTTGCCTCAAAGAAACTTGTATCGGCCAGTTTGCTTATCACACTACACTCCGTAATACTGAAGGAAGGTGATGCCACGTGAGTTGTGTTTTCCACAGACTTGATAGGACTGTCTTCGCCTGTGAGCGCAACTAACCATGACAAACACCGTAAAATTTGAATAGAAGTTGCCCCAGATTCCGGTTACAGAGCAGCATTAGCAGTTCGGTTTCCATCAGGTTTCTGTCGCCTCGTGCATGATACATCTCACATGAACACCACTTTTAGTAGAGTCCACCGTGTTCATATGAGATGAAAGAATACTGACCTAAGCTATTACCTAAATGCGCTCTGAAGCCTGTCTTACAGTGATTTTAGTTGACCTCAGTCGTTTGTTGCGTAAGCTCTGGAAAAAACGTGGACGCGCATTCGCGTGGCTAGAGGTGGTTGACGCCCAGTTACAAGTAGCGGGAGGTTGACAGATAAGTTCCGCTGGATACTCACTACCGATGGTCTTTAATGCGGATTAGTCATTCATATAGTTGTAGTTCAGGTGGCTGTTAATCTTTTCGGCGAGCTTGGCAAGTTACTTACAGACGTTTCGTCACTAGTCGTGTAAACATCATCAGTGCGTGGTGATCTCTTCACGATTGGTGACGAAACTTCTTCAGGCACACTGCTGAACTCAACGGGCAGGCAAAGCAGCCACATGATCTATAACTAATTAACGCAGGCAGGCTATCAACATTTCGGTACATTGCCAACATCTCGGTGCACATGAAAAATTGGTCCTTACTCAGGAATCTAACTCGATAAGTTATCATTTGCATTGTGAATAATGTGCGCTGCTCTTCACTGTATCAGTACAAGTTAATCGGTACCCGGGTGTAACATGGTTTCTGTCCTTATTCGTTTTGGGAGGTCCATATTACCGTCTGTTCTCAATAAGGACCTATCACCATGTGTCCAGCTGGTTGTATACTAAGACATTGTATAGCGGATCGTCAACAATCCCGGGAGCTCGGTTTCTGAGTAACCTCATCCAACTGGAGATATTTGATATTAACTGTCTTTTTCAAGATGATGGCTGTGAATGGTTGTGTCACTGTACTCTAACTTCTATTTACGGTGTCGTCCTGTATGTTGAGGTTTGACAAAAACGTTTTAACTGGTTGGGATGATTTCTCTCACCCGGTTCTGTTCGTCCCCTGAGCCAACTAAAAATTAGAACCCGGATTCGAATGCATGTGCATCATAATCTAGCCGTGCGCAACGTTGGATACAAATTGAATAAAATACTACATCCAACTTCAGTGAGTTCGAGAAGATTTCCATCCTGAACCGATGAGAACGATAACATGGTATCGCGCTTCACTCGTCTTTGGAGAACAGTTCGGCTGAACTTCCTTCTCAAGATCTCCCCAGCGAATCGGATTAACGGGATCATCTACAGGTGGCTTTCATAATAACACAAGTCTTTTTAGTTTTCCTGTTTCCAAGGCACACATTAATCCCGTTCACTTTCACCAACAATTTCTTAGGGACGAAGATATGATATCCCTTGCCTCGGTCATGTCCCTGAGCCGTGCGGGCAGCTTCAATGTGGGCAGTGGGTTGACCGTCAATGACGTTGGTGGCGTTGGATCAGTGTCTCCCAGCTTCCAACGCTTCTGCAGCACGCGATATCCACCTGGTTATGGTGCCAAACTTTCAGCATCCTTGGGTGGAAGCACATTCCACACGGACTTAGGCAAGTTGACAGCGAAACTTCAGGCACTGCAGCACGTCCCCGACGAGGCGGAAACTGAGAATGAATCGGAACAGCATGAAACGGAGGGGAATAAATGCAACGATCTGTCTGCGGTTCAAAGCGACGTCCAAATTAACGCGGATTCTCCCAAAGGTATCCTTTTTGCATTTTATTGAATCCAATTGTTGAGTCATCGTGACGTGTTTCAGCAATTGACCCTATCCTACTCAGTGCGGGGAGCTCACTCTTGGCTTTTGTTCATCAACCAACCAACCAAATAGTAACGATACAAGACATTTAGCTATTCCGGATAGTGGTTGTTCGTGGATCTTAGTTCTCGATGGACTCGTTTCCCAGCTAATAGGGTTGTCCTGTTCAAGGTATGCTCCCCTCAAATGTGAGGACAATCAGATGGAACATGAAAATAAGTGTCCGGTAATCGGTTGTTCATATCCTAATGTCAAACTATCCACCTAATATACCTGAAGGCCCTAACATTTGGCGTGTTCGCACAGTGAATGTAATTCGGGTGCACTCATTAGCTGCTGCTTGTTCACCGATTTGATTTGCAAACGGTTCGTCATCATCCGAGGAGATATCGTTGGTGCGTCCTCGAGTAGTACCTCCTGTTCTGCCTGGATCTACATTGTTTAGCTAAGAACAGCTTATATCTCTAATGTGGGTGGCTAACTGCTATTCCAGTTATCCGTCCGTTCTAGATGTCTCCTACCTTGTGTTTTCATTTCTTGTTGGTTGACTGACTTGCTGGACGCTGTCGTCGTCAGTACCTCCCTCTCTTTGTTCCGACTGCCCCTCCCCGGGTATTTGTGACGTGTTGTGGTTCGGAAATACTCTGATTTGATTGGTCCTTCAAAGTATCTCCGAATCACAACGCACCTTTGATATCGAGGGACCAACGGGAAGATTGTAAACCACCGAAGTCTACGTCATCCAATAAACCACATACGGCGCAGAACCGTCAACTAATCGCATTGGAGATATGTCTGTTCATTCTCAAACTATATAAACCCAAGCACGACAGAGGTGGAACCACTCATTCAACAACGCACTGACGATGTCTCTTCGAATAGTGACGAAACGTTTGCAAATCAATTACCAGGCTCAACGAACAGGTCAGTAACTAACGATTTCCACGTGATCTCGTTACTAGCTTTTACTACTTCGAACCCACCGACTGAGTATTGCCACCAGCGATCTCACTCAAAGCGGCACTTTTTCAATCGGGGTTAGAAGTTGTAAGAATATGTGTGGTGTTCAGAGCTTATTTCTGGCAAATCCTCAGAAGTTTCACTTCAGAGAAGTCTCATCTGATATTGTTGGTGCATCCTTGTTGTAAGCATTACCAGGTTTTCTGTGCTATGATCACATGGTCAGGTACAGCTTTTGTTGTATTACGGCCAGTGACCAGTGAAAGTTTTTGGGATTTCATTCAACTACGTTACTTGGAAGTGAAGCCATTTTTGATGGGTAAGTTATATGGAACGGTTTTTGAGTGTAAGGCACCCATTTCCCAGTTATTAGTCAACCGTCCGTTCATAGTGCATACACCAGAAGTTCACGCTTTGTATGGAATGTGTTCATTCGTGTGTACGACATGGATAGATAGATAACCGCCGATTTACTCCCAATCCCTTCTGAGATGACTCAGTGGTTAGAGCTCGAATTTACTGACCGGAAGGTCCTTGGTTCGAACCCTACATCCGCCTCTCGACTTTCCCTGTCTAGGCTTGGACAACCTGACAGTATCCTAGCCTTCGTGCTTCCTTCCGGTGGCATGGCAGTTAGGCACCGAAAGAGCTGGACCATTCTGAAACAATGACTTCTCAATCGGTTCCAAACTTTTTCCAATTGATCGAAAACTGCCAGGGTTAAGCGTCGATGCAATCAATGCGTGGTCACGTGGTACACACCAGTGGGTTCAGACTAGAGGTCAAAATGAGTAGCCATACCATACCAATGAGTTACAGAATGAGCGTGTGGTTGAGATTGGGTGGACGTGCAGCCCAACGGGCCAGCATGTGAACTCCTAGCAGCACTTCTATACTGATGTCTTCTAGGTGGCTGATCAGAATTGCCTATCTTTGGGAGGGAGGTGGATGGGATGGTCTCTTTAAAGGAGAACACCACGGGTAAAAGGGTTCTTGGTTCCCTAGTGAGTTATCTCTCTATGTGAGGAATTGGACACCGTGGCCTGCGGACAGCGTCCCTACAAGCTCTCATTGGTAGCAGCTTCCCTTGGAGGATGAGAATAACTGTACCTACAGTTGTCCCCTCCTAAGAGAAGCCTCGTTCCAACGAACGATTTTTGCACACTCCAAATTGTCTCATTCATACCATATAGAGAACCCCGAACAGCGAAAAGTCGGTCCACAAGAGCTCATCCTGGAAACGAACTAGAATTTCAACCTACTACTTTTATCTAGAAAGTAGCGATATCCCATTTGTTTGGCGGACCCGAGTCCTGTGGTTATTAACAACCTTTTTTTTATAACGCAAAGCCGTTTTACCACCGACGATCCATCTACTCTCCACCGTTTCGTGCTAATCCGATCCAAAGGTAACTGACACTACGACAAACCGTCACCAAACCTACTTGGTAAAGATTCTGAAGTGAGGTAGGCTAAAATGTCTCACTGTAGAGGGCATGTTGCTGGTGAGAATGTTTTTATTTGAAACCGGTCGATTCAACCTAGCAAAGTGGATGGCGTGGGTGCCCTTCTGGTAAAGCTTCACCGCAGACTACTGACAACTGGTCCAATAATAAGCAGGCTATGTTTGGAGACATTACAGTAAACAGCGATGTTAGTCGATCGAACTAACTACGGGAATGTGATTACTTCTAATTCCGCCGGCCGACATCTGCTGTCCGATCAATATGCTCTCACGTTTCAGGTGACTGTTTCCATAACACTAATTATGTTTACGTTGTATTACCCTACTTCGTTAATGACAGTGACCTTGCATTTGTTTCACTTTCGCTCGGGCAACCTCCCTCCTGTCTTAACGCAAATATTTTGGTGAGCCCATGCTAAAGGAGGAAAGTACTGGATTCGAGCTCCGTTGTTAGAGCTCATCGTCGGCCGGGCCAGATTTGAATTTCGGACATCTGGTATGCAAGGTGAGCGTGGCACCACTACTCGTCCAGCGCACGCTGGACGCATATGAATTTTCAACTCTGAATAAGAACATGTTCGCACTTGAGTGATGTGAATGGTAAGCCCGACGCCTCGAACGAAGACCCAATAACGCACCTTGGTTGTGTCGATCGCTTGGCCCACGAAACTCGAATCCAGTACTTCCCTCCCTTTGGTGTGGACTTACCAAGATGATTGCACCGGGACAGGAGGTTGAATGTTCAAACAAGAGTAAACTGAGCGCGTATTATATAAATCCCGCAATCACCCACAACCATACTATTTCTGACAAGCATAGCGCTCACTTCTTATGGACTGAAAAAAGGTTGGTATGGCACGTTCACCTATACAGCTTATCTAGAAGTTTTTCCTTAAGACGTCTGTCCTCTGACTTGGTCCGACTGAGAATGATATCGGCACCAGTTCACGTTTTGCAAATGGTGAGTAAGGTTCCCACAGGTGCTGCCAACACTTAAGTTTAATGAATGAACAGGAATCCACCTAGATGTCAACAGTTCTGAGGATTTTATGCCATTTGATCGGCGGGAATGCAGATACAGTTCGAATAACAGCAATCGTTGTCACGAACTGCTTGGTATCAACATGACTTACTTCAAGCTCAGTGCGACACTGGCGGTTGTGAAACCGGCATCCTAGAATCATGGGCCTAAGAGTATGTGGTTCTTATTTCATGCTTGAAATTCATTAATTGGGGAAGCACTGTTATGAAGGATTCAAATGGGATTAAAAGTCCGAACTTCTAGTTACTTTGGCTTCTGCGAAGGACCTAATGCAGTCTTCAGTGAGTCACGGAACTGGGAGCACTGGTGAAAGCTCCTAAAGTTCCTAGTTGCAGACTAAAAACCCACGTGCTTGAACCGAATTTTGTTTTCTAGCGGGCGGGTAAAGTTTGTGCAGTGGGTACTTGTACTTTGTAGGCGCACATTGTTTAGAAATTTGCTAATTCCGGTGGGCTTCATGCAAGAAATATGAACATTATGTCAATGTCCTATACATTTGATATTGGCTTGTCCGTGATCTACAGTTCTTGTGTGCTCACAAATGAGTAAAGTTTGAGAGCGACGAAACGTGCATATAGGCCTTCGTTGAGGCCTCAAGGTGACATCTACAATCTTGAGGCTTCGCACCATAGGTTCACACGTGTTAAATGACTGCTGCCAACGGTTTTTAAGGCCTCATTAATTTCAGTTATTTCCAGAGGTAATTTTTTGCTGGACTTAATCCTTGGCTTAAGAAAGGTCCTCGTTTGGCTGTATTTTTTTTGTCACAAAGGAGTCAGCAATATTCGGTACCTGCAAGTATTTTGGTAATAATAATAATAATAATAATAATAAAATAACACTAATAATGACAGTCATTCAGCTGTAACAACCTACTGGCGCCTAGCTACCATGCGCGGGTGCTGAGATACTGCCAGGTTACCCGAATGTAGACAAGAGCAGTCGAGATGGTTGGTTTCGAACCACAGACCTTCCTATCAGTAACTTCACGCCTTAACCACTAAACCATCTCGAGCACTTTCAACTTCGCCATGCACCCGCTTTCCTGAGGAAACCTTCTTTGCACTTGTGCTACTTTATGGTCCAAATGCGCTCTACAGCTGCTTCGTTCTTTGAGAGACTAATCAAGATTGCTCACTTCATGCGTCTCTATACCGTTTGGCTGCGAGTTCATCAGGTTGTTAATGGGGCTACCTTGTGCTCGGACCGCTTATTGCTGCTCTTTCTTTCGGTCACGCAGTTCGTGTTACATATTGGCTATCTGCTCCAATGACCAGTCTTATCCGTTTAGGTAACGAAATACGCGTTGGAAACAGCGATTTCCGGAATAGATAATAATAGGTTGCAACATTCAGTTGGTATGTACATTGTAAAGACTACTTGTGAACAAGTGCGGAAGTTGTGGACTTATGTAACTGGAACGCGGGAGCGAGCTGCTCTGAGACATTTCTGGAGTAAGATGTGTCCTAAAACCCCAAACAAAGACAATAGAGAGGAAATATTGCGGAACCTCGTTAATGAGGACGCGGCTATTCACTGACCTACTGGCAGTCCGTATTGTGTAATCTGTTGTGTGGTTGTTTAAACAGATCCACTCTACCAAATAATTCGGTCTTCGTTGATGATAACCAAAAGATAGGTAGATAAGATTTAAGAAGTTAGAAGAACGGTTTTATGGTGAGCCTTTTGAAGTGGGTTGGGCTTTCTGAATGAACACAGACTCCCTCTTTAGCACAGAAAAATTGGTGATCCCAGTGGTTGTCTTTCTTTCCGATGGCACTGAAACACTGGTATTCAGTACTGCTTCCGCGCTTACGTCTCGGACCGCCGTTCTATTTGTCTGCTCTAGATAGTAACGGTGTTCTAAGGTGCCTCACCTCGTGATATTCGTCGATGGTACCCTCACTAGTTGTACTTGGGTTTCGAGGAATTGAAAGCCGTAACTATGGAGGTGCTGTCACGTTCTAAGTGATCCCAGCGAATTTCCCTAATTGCTCCGCATCAAGCACCGTATGCATGCTGGAAGTCCAGTATACCCATAGGTTTTAATCACATTGCCTATTGCCTTAAACGGTGGCCGTGTGGCCTCTACTTGTTCAAACCATCTGTGGGACAGGTAGTTTTGTGGACTAACCAACTGGGTGCTGGTCCTTGAAGTGTGAAAACTGGTCGCTCAAAGCTTGGGTCGCGCAGTTTTCTCCCTAGTCCTTGCTGTGACCTCAAAACATACTTTCCAAAGAGCACACTTGCAACGGACGGTGCGATAGGTTCCACTATTGTTAGCAATGTGATCTGGTCGGGGATACCTTTCTAGGTGGTCATTTTCTTATTTTTCACTGGTGTTTGTTCGTGACAACGATGGTGTGGAGACGTTAGATTGCTAGAACATCCACCTGTCCTACTGGACAATATTGGCAGTGTATTCCAAGTGCGTTCTCCGCATTGTTGAGGGATAACATTCATTTGCCTCGAAATCCAAGTATGTTACTGTCGAATGAATCCGAAACAGAATTTCGCCTCTCACATTCCTCCGCTAATGATCACCGTTATTTTTTGGGGTAGCAAAATTACGTGAACGGTTGTGATTAGTATCAACCCGAAAATACTATACTAACTGTTCAACACCGTAATATGTTGGTCAGGTTTTCCTTGGCTGATCGACCTTGTATCTCCTTTGGTCAACAGCGTGCGAGATGAACATTTCGTTAGGGCATGATGTACACTAGGTAGACATACAGTACACCTGTCTGGCACCACAACTATATTGCATTTATCCAGTGCAGCATTTGTCACGCGCCGCCGTACTCGACAGATTAAAATAATACAAGCACTCTACAGACAACTGAAACGTATGCCTTTCATGAAGTTGGTATACAGTATTGCTTCTCTGACGAGCAGTAGTCTATACGACAGAAGGTCAACTATATATTGCTGGCATATGTCCGCAGGAAAGTTGAGCTCTACCAGCGGGTGAAGCGCGGGGTTAATATCAAAATAGTGTAAGTATGTATGCAGGAACCCAAAAAAGCGTCTGCCGGTCTGTTCGAGCAAACATACCAGGTCGCATAGATGGTAGTCTCCTACCAAGTCATTCTCACGAAGGACTAGCTCATCACTTAGACTAGTTTACCCCAGCTGACGCGAAAAGTACTCTCTTGTTGGGGACCATCTTGAGCGCTTTATCACCAAACTCATGGAAGTAAGAGCGCATGACCTCTGCATAAGATGAGTGTGCACTTACTGTTTATAACCCTGTAAACCAGCCGTAACGACAACACACTCTGCTTGGCTTTCGACTTCAGTAGGCCCGGTTGGCAGCATTTATCTGCTGTTCATTCTTCTCCCGTTTTTCTCATCTCTCCCTGCAGGTGATACCAAACCTCCGCCAACAGTCGTCCCCACAGCGTCCTTGCCAAATGTCACCGAATCGCAATCACCGTTCAACACGGAGTAAGTTAATCCGGCGTTGGAACGAGCTTGTTCCCAATTTGTGAGCAGATCTATTTTGCTCGGACACGCCGTACATGTTACCCGCTAGTTAGCAGCTGACGATAGTTTTGAGTGGCTGCGTTGTACTACCTGCAGGCAAATAGGACGCTGTCAACTCGGACCTGATTTTGGATATCTAATCGCCTTTGGCCTAATCAGAATTTTGTCCATATTTTATTGACTTCATGTTTTTAAATAGCTAGAACAGTGGATGCTATGTAAGGGGATCCAATGGTGCTTTGGGTTGTAAATTTGATAAGAGTAGTGTGTCGGAGAACATTGATGTGGTGAGTTTGGATGTGACCGGATGCGCTGTAGCCGGGTGTTCCACAAGTTGTCGTTGCAATGGAATTCAGCAATCATTGGTCGGTAAAAGATAGTGTAACGAGGAATGAACCCATGCTAGGTCGTGTGGCAAAAGTACGATATAAATTCGTTCCAGGGTAGATAGACAGATGGCCCGAATCAACATTTTTTACTTGCACTTGTGCTTGATCAATAGTTCTTCACGAAATCCAACGATTTCGGGTTTCGGCTGCACAGTAGTAAAATCTTGGAGGCCTGAGATGTGTCAACTATGTGACCTATTTCAAAGGTGTGTTGCTTAGTCGATGATCCTTATTACATGCCAACCACTGGTACTCAACTCTTATCTGCTGACCGAAGACTTTGGTTCATTATACGTTACGGCAACTGCCATGTACGGTTGAGTGTGTCGCACCTTGAGAGCTCCCGGAACACGAGTCTCCTAGTTGCGGCGACTAGATTTAGTTGGACAGCAGAAGACATTCGGCTTTGATTCCGGTTCTCTGTCTCACATGATCATCCTTAAACCAGAGGACGTTTCAGGGGTAATGCTGATAATTTCGGTTTGTAGAAGGGCAGCGGGTAGCAGTCGGCTATCGGTGCCCCTTTCAAGATCCCTTCAGCTAATTATTGGAGATTCATATGTTTCTCACTTTATGTTCTCACTAAACCTCGTTTATACTTCGTGGAAAACTGTCAAAGGGTAGTCATTGGTCATTTCATGCGCTTTTCCTGTGATCCATTCTTTGTGACGTCCATGAATACATGCAGAAATGCTTAACGAGGGACGCTGATTGGTTGTGTGAACATCATGATTATCGAAAGCCTTAATCAAACTGTCATCTGCACACTGTTTTCCAAGATGAAAACGTGACATGTTTTTACATGGTTTCCCGTCGAATTCTGGTCAGAATGATATCAGCTAAGGTTGAACCTGGTAACATCCCACAGTAACGTGTACAGGGCAGTATGTAGTCTTCTGATAATCCAGCTGGTACAAATTATACGGTGCCATGTGCAGTAATGGAGTCACAAAGGCTACCAACTATCTGCCTTAGTGGGGCGTTAACAACCCACGAATCAATGTTATTGGGGGACAGTTTTGGAAAACTCACTAGCAAACTGTCGTGTGTCCAGTATGACAGCACTCCTTCGCTATTGTCCAATTCCGTTCAGAAAATGATCATCAGTTGCATCTTAGAAGCTTGCGTATGAAACTTTTTCTCAGGGGGTCACTAAGATCGAATACTCTCTTGACAGACGTGAATGGGCTTGCTCGCAATTGAGTTGTCCTTGTTACATGTATTGCATTAAGTGATAACAGCGCTTCTCGGGCGTTCCTTTGTTTACTTCGTGCCATAAATCTGTTTTCAAAACAATAAGTGCTCCCTCACTTTCCTCCGCAACTTTGTTGCAGCTCAAAAACAACCGCTGGCCGAAGTGGTCAAGACCTGCTCGTTTGGTGTCAAGAAGTGACTCGCGATTGTCCGATGGTTCATATCACAGACCTGACCACATCATTCCAATCTGGATTGGCATTTTGTGCTATCCTACATCATTACTACCCAGATAAAATGTAGGTTGTTCTCTGCTAAACTTTTCCAGTTTTCTAAATCCTCACTTATTTTCTACGCGGGAATTAGCTGGTAGTCGACCCGTTTCAGTAGCCTGCTGACCTCTCTTACTCGAGCGAGACAAAAAATGCAGCTAGTGTGGCTAAGTGTACAGATAACCAGAACAACAGTCATCGTGTCTCGAATCAAAAGCGTCTTCTATTTTGTGAAAGCCAGCCACCAGAACAGCAGTTACATTCGTTTTCATCTTACCGCAGTCCCACCCCCACCAATGAACATAGTCATCTGAGATGGCGTTCAGACGGACGAAGTGAAATGCGAACATTGTATTTGTATACTATGACACCTGACACCTTGAAAAATCATGTCAGTGTCATATGATCAGCCAGAACACCCTATTCAGTTGACCGATATTAGGGCGAATCAGTGTTCATGCTTCTTTGTACATGATTGTTTGGGTGTCCACTTCTTGATTCTGGCCGATTTGCTACACCTGCCTAACGCGTGTGATGTTCTGTTACTCCGGATATCGTTCCCCTGGGCATTCATAGATTTCGGTCCATCCGGGCTATAATGGCTGAAGATATCGCTGTACAGTGAGATCTACGCAATACTTCGTTCATTTACGTTACTACGGTGTTCCCTGCTCGGATTCGTCAGTGTTAAATGTCGCAGAAGTCCAGGGGGAATGAAATATCCATAGTATGCTTTTCGTAGCGCTCACCACTGTTCCTGGATCCCACAACTCACATCTCTGATCAGCTCGTGGTCGAACATTTAAGTAGTATTCGTACTGCTAGCCGGAAGGTCGTGGGTTCGGAACTCCCAACTGATGGTTTCCAATAAGGATAAGACAATTTGCCAGAAAATTGACAGTGGCGGTGCCTTGTGTAAACCAAAAGGCATCCTTTCCACCGCCTATCATTAATTCATCGTCTTTTTACATCTTATATTTTCCTCACTCTCCCCTCCACAAAGTGACATGAATAGTTTGTCGAAGAACAATCCAGTGGACAACTGTCGTCTGGCTTTCGATGTGGCTTCCAAATTAGGAATACCCAGAGTGTTGGATCCAGTCGAGTTGACCTTGCCAACTAGACCCCCTGACTTATTGAGCATGATGACGTATTTACACCAAATGCGTATGCATTGTTGTGGTCCACCTCCAGCAGAAGTTCCGAAACCTGTCGTCGGGATCTTACAGGGAAACGGGATCATTCCATGTAGCCCAGCACGGCGGCCTTCGATGGGTTCCGAGCAGGTACTCACTTCAAGGTACGTCTTCTGTTTTTGTGTATTTTCGGTTCCATTCGATTCATCCACATCCCATTTTGCGTCTTATCCACTATCTCATTTTACAGTGACTCCCGAAAGCACCAACCGAAGAAGAGGCCGTTGTATTTCGGTTCATTTTCTTGATTTACATCCATCCTTCGGTTTGTGGTGCATTTTCTTGGAGACATTGTACCTCGTTGCTGTACGATGGTTTGTCTGGGTGACTATTCCCTGAAGCCTGTAGCGAAGGGAACGGACCTTGTTGTAGTGCGATGTAGGATCGTGTAGGACGCCCGTGCAGCACCAATAGTCTATTCAACTAGTTTAGAAGCCCGCGGGACGACAGTTGTCCTCAGTCCCATGTTTGGATATCTGGGTAATTTTCATTCCACGCACAACCATAAAATATGCACATACGAACACCTTCATGCCACTGATCACCTTTTGTGCCTCACAATGCAAGTTATGCAACACTTATGACGTCCTGTCTTGAAACGCCGTCCGATCGTTGGGCCAGACGAGCTTCCACCAACGTTTTCAAAGACAATGCTGAATTTTCGTCTGCTGGTTCAACCAGTTGTTTGAATCTATTTGGGAAAGAGAAACAGAGAGCGTGGGTCAATTGGGTATGATATTTTTTTAAAAAACTGTTTCCACTGAACTCGATGTACGTTTCTCCCATCGCTGGTAGGATTTTTCGTGTCCCCTCACATTCCTTCTCGTTATCAGTAAAATCGTGCGATTTACACTCCAAGGCTCTTTGAATCTAGGAAATGTTACTTGAAGAAAGATCTTGGGACTTCGTCCATGTGGACGAAATTGTTTTCGTCCAGTCCTCCGCTTCGGCATACGTTTCACACCTTCGACGTGTTAGGTCAAGACTTGCAATCCTTAGTTTATTGATAGTTGTACATATTTTGATTGTACGTAGTCATTATCATGTGGCAATCAGCGTTTTCTAGCTTGCGTCATTTATAGCGTCGGAAACGGATTCAATCAAGGTGGAAGGTTATGTGTAAAACTAGTCTTTGTGGTCGCAATACTTGATTCTTCTTATTTCTCCTCCCTGACCGACTTCGACCGACTGCGCACCGATGGCTTCGTAATGCAGCAGAAGTTTGTGTGGTGGCCAATACTTGATAAGGCATCAGAATCTGTGGAGGCGCAAGTGAATCCGATCGGAGCACAGTTGTCGTTGCAGCCTACCGCCTCCCAACGAAGGTGGTGTTTTCCATTCCACCCCCGGAGACCTCTGTGACATTCTTTCGGTTCCTAGCTGCTATGACACGGGAAGGTTAGGATACTGCCGGGTTGCCCAAGCCTAGACTGGAGAAGTCAAGATATAGATGTTGGGTTCGAACGATGGACCCTTCGGTCAGTAAATTCGCGCTCTAACCACTGTGCCTTCGTGTCCCGAACTGAAGGATCTTCATGTCTCTTGCGTCACGCGTTTCTGCCCGTGTGTTCATGGAAACCCCACAAGACATGACTCTCTATTACTTCTTAGCTTATTTAGCCTTGATGTTTGTAATGGTTTGCAAATACTACTGGGTATATCTCGCTGATGGCTTTATTACGCAGTAGCGTGCTTATTCCGTCGTCGTTCGAAAGTAAACTGTTTCGTTCCTGATGGTTTTCCCCAGGTTCGTAGAGCTACCATGGTGTTATTTTATCACGATTGTACCGATTTATGGCTGGATGAATGCAGAATTCTGACCATCAGCAGTTAATGGGTCGTGGATGGACTTACCGTGGTCACCTCTGTCGGAAAAGTTAGCCGAGACAGTCTAACAAGTTGTTTCCATAGAACTTACGATTTTGGAGAGCTTTTTTATGCCCCAAAATAGTCTAACCAGCTGAGTTTTACTTGAATTGACGGTTTGTTTACTTTTCTAATGACAGGTCCCATGTTCGAGTCCCACTGCCCTAGTGGCCCAGTTTTTTTCAGCCCATTCTTGATCCGCCAGCGGTAACTGTGTTCTGTTTTTCATCTGTTTCAATTCATAATATTATCAGTTCAAACCGATATAGGAGCATTTTTTCAACTATTCAGTTCGTTGTCCAGGTACCTTTTGAGTTTTTCTATTCATTTCATTGGCGTTTCTCACATTCACCATTTTTCATAGGTCACCTAGACCTACGTCCGCAAACAGACGGTGTAGCACGGAGAATGTTGGGTCTCCCACTGCAACCGATGCACCCTCTGAACTCGCTTCGTCGAATCGAAAGGCAAGTTATTGTAAATGGTGTTTTTCCTGATCTCACCCCCTCGAAATGTTGGCGCCCACTTCGTTTTTCATGTATATCGGTGTTCAATGTTGGAGCCGATTTCAGTTTGTTGGACGCCAAACTCACATTGGTGGCCACCTCTGTTTACCTAGTCTGTTGTGATTCATGGAAGAATAAACAGAACACGTGTATTCAATTTTATATTTTGGGACTTACTTCGTTTTGGTCTACCTGGCAAACAACAAATGAGTTGTGATTCTGTTTCTCGGTGCTTATCGATTTTAAACTTTTTGATGAGATTGCCGTTTATCATCTGGGCGTTTATTTTCTGCTCAACATCTGTCCACCCTTCGCTCACCTGGACCAAGTGATTTTTCCCTCATTACTTCACGTTTCAGAGCTCGAGCTTGTTCAGTGGTTAAGGAGCGAATTTACTTACCGGAGGCTCCATGGTTCGGACTGAACCTGTGCATTTCGACTGCTCCCGTCCAGTATTTCGGGTGGCATGGCAGCTAGGCACCGAAAAGGCATTACAGCTGAGGGATTTTAGTCTTCGACATGCGTGCTGCAGCCAAGCAGACCTAGTGCAGGTCGCGTGCACTCTTATGAGGTACCACATGTCCTTGTTCTGTGTAGAACCGTGGCACAATTTACACAGCATATTCATAGGTAGGCTCGAGAGATGTGTTACAAAGTTTGGCCCGTTGAACCATTGCAGTGAATGTTTCAATATGTGTTTTCCATCCGCAGTTCTACGGGTTACCCAAGCCAGACCTATCGAACACTAAAAGGTTCAACTTTGCAACCTGAAACCCGCTATAGTGTGGTAGTTTCAATTCGATACCCTTGTGCTGAATGAATCCAATTTCGCAGCATCACTCATCGGTGAGCCGCATAAATTGACAGAGCACTGTGATTTTAGGATTCACCGTAATTACGGCATTCGAAATCCTGCGGCTATTGAAATATGACATTTTTGAATAGAGCGTTACCGGTTACCTAACAATTCGTTGAACTTCGGACCTGTCCTTCACTAGTGAAGAACTCGTATTTTCATCCGGTATTGCTGTCAGTGATGACAATAAAGCTATACCTCGGAAACTGCTGGGAACGGATCTGGAGTTGAGTTCCAAAGCTGATTCAAAAGTGACATCTGCTAGGGTCAAACGGGTTGAAAAACCACCTTTGCATGCTACCGCAATAGGTTGCGGCACAACTCTTCCAGCTATTTCCGGCGCGCTCAATTCATGTGTAGTCACCATAAAATATGGTGTCTAAGATGTGCATGTCAGCAAGCAGGAAGCTAGATGATACAGTTCTCTAAGATGGAGACAGCGGGATACGTACTTAGTAGAAATTTTTGAGGCCTCCCTTTGATATTCAGCCACAGATAACTCATGTGCCCGTGGAATTTGTGTTGAACATTAAGAATGCAGTAGCACTAGTGAAAGGTTTTGGTTGGGAAAAATGGGTTGCACCATAAGATAACAAAAATCAGTAGTAGTGCTAGAATAAGCTGCGCAGTTTAAGTCGCGAAAGGAAGTTGAATTAACCCGATCTACCATAAGATTCGGCGTTATCATTCTTTGTCAAGTAGCTTTTCTCCCGAAGATCCTCGCATATGCGTGCAATGAAATCCTGAAACCGCAGAAACTCAAGAGTTTTCAGTGACGAAGGTGAGCATTTGCGTTCCTCACGGCTCACTACCGCGTTTCTTCCGTGCTGGTTCTCTGTCTTAATCCGACCAGGACTGTAGGACGGGACCGGTCGTTTACCGCGTGCGGGAGTTATCATACCCATCAGATTTCCGGACTTCACCAAAACCATTCTGCCCATAATTCCACCCTACCGTGTATGTGATCATATTTGCGGTGACCACAAGACAACGGTGAATGCCCATACATTGGCGGAAGCCCGTTGCTTACTGAGGATTTCGAATGTTTACACAAATAGCTGCCAATAAATTAACGGACAAGCTGTGCATTGATTGCAGATCATCTGTCTACAGTCGCCTATCCTCTGAACTTCAAGCTGTTCCAGTCACTTTTCAGAGGGCCGCTGCAAAATCTTTTGCTTATTTAAATGGTACATTGATCGCAGGGATGTCGTTGGATTGAAATGTTAGCCTGTCAACGTAGATGTTAGACCGGTTAGACCTAAAGGGGAATGCATATTCCTTGTAGATCACATGGTTCACGTGGATTTCCGAATTAGCACCGTTTATCTATCACATCTAGAAGGACAAGCACTTTTGATCCTTGAAGCCCCGGAAGCCAAACCTTAACGCGACCCCATGAGTAGTGTTCCTTCTGGAAAATATACTACCATTATCTCGAATAGCGTATCAGCGGAAACGTGGGGCGTTCTTTGTGCACAGCATTCAGTTGAAGAATATTGTGAACAGAAAATTCAGCAGTAATTCATCCCAGTTCCTCACTGAAATGCAATTACTGGGCAAATGAGTGTATTTCGCAAACTGTGCACAATCTGGGTTCAATTAAACTCGGTAAATGAGCCTACTTGATGGCCCCTAAGAAGGGTGAAACGGGTCTTGGGCTGTCAAAGAGTTTTCAGTGACCTTGTGAGTAGTGATTCTTCAGGAAAACACCTCCAACCTCGCTGCACTGAACTGCGTATTGATGAAGGACGCCTTTTACAAACCTCAAAAATATGTTTCACACAACGGGTCCGGGAGTGTGCGTTGCATCAAAAGAACAAAACTATGGTATCACCCACGCCTATGTTACTTTGACACTTGTTATTACATCCTTGAGACCGTATCCACGTTAACTCCTGCAAATCTATCGACAGAAGGATGAGGCACAAGCAAGAACGTCTGCATAAAACGGCTGGACAGATATTTCACCGCAATGCTGAATAATTGATATGACTACATTGACCACTCTCCTGGTCAACTGTGGACTGGGCGCAGGGTAGGCGTACGACTAGAAATTCTTTGGGCTGAGCTGAAAACGAAGATTAATAAGTGGTAAACTTGAACTGATGTTTCATTTTTTCCAAGTCATATATGAAAAGGCGAAGTGTTCGCCTCAAATCCGAACCTCTGGCAGGAATGTCAACAGTGGGTGTTTGACAAAGGTTTCCCTCTGAGGTGCCAAATCTTCTCACCGTCTTTCGGATCACAACGCGATACAGGACACCACTCCGGTGACTGTGAGAATCACACAGGTAGTAATGGTCCGTAATGGTACGTTCACGAATCTTTGCATAGGAGCAGAGGCCAACCAAAGGATATCAGATCGGTTATGCTTAACCCCTCCGTGATGGATTCGGAAAGCTTCATGTCCATCGATGCTCCATATCTGTCTTTTCTTCGCTCGCCTAAAGTAGACGAATCATGGCTTTTTTGGTTTGGTCTCACGTCCACCCAACAGCCCGGGTCCAGACCGCGTCTACCGTAGTACACACTTGTTTCCACAACTCTTTCCAGCTTTGACAATCAGTGGTTACCTTGCACATTGGACGTAGCCCTACATTCCCTCAGTCACTTACTTCACGTCTCAGGATCTTATGTTGACTATCTCCTCTGATGACGACTTCGCAGGTGGAAGGGTCCCATTCCGTACAGGTTATTTGGAGTTCGTGAATACTGAGGTGATTCGGAAGCTTTACTCGTTATTTCATTTGGCAGATATTTCGATAAATCTCAATCAAATCCTGAGAATTCCTTAACTACCTACAAGCTGTTAGTAGACTGATTAGGAAGGGAAACGTTACTAGTCCATGGGTCTTCCACAGCCAGCCAAGAAGTCAGTGAGCACAAGATCAGGTGATTGGATAATGGTGGTGCCATGGACTATTCGCTGCTCATGTCTCAAACGACCACCCTTTTAGGTTTAGACTACCAACGCGAAACTGCTGCACTGTACGGGTTTTGGGCGTACTTAGTTGGTACCAAGAATAAGTCCTCTTTGCTGTTGCTTATTTTAACCAACCCATGGTTGTTACTAGAAGGGTAGCGATTACGCCTGGTGTGTGGTGCTTGTGCCATAATCCTCACCTTGTCTAATCGACTCCTTTTCTGCACGTGTGTTTTGGTGTGCACAAAGTTCATGTGAGGGAATCTGCTTATGGATGTACTGTTATTGTTTGACGACGGAAAACAGAACAGACTTCATCGCGATTCCTCTGTAAAAGCTCTTGAGAGTTAGAAGTCACATGGTTCGAACCCGTCGCCTCTGATTGCTTATGTCTAATCCTGGCAACCCGAAAAACGCTTGGTCTTCATGTTCCTTGACTGCCTAACACACAAGGGTTCTGTTCCTTACAGCCATCTTTGTGTTCAGTATTACTAACCTAGTTTTTGCAGCTCCTTGACAAACTATTTGCTAATAAATAGCTGGCCCATCGATTACTATTATTTTTCTTCGTGGTCATATGTTGGCCTGTTAATTCTGCCGCATGTGCTTGATGGAATGTCGACTGGGCACGTTCCGTATGCGTAATCCCTGCATGTACACGAAACCGTTTTTAATTTATGCACCAAATAGCTTTATGGCTTTGACCTCCTTTTTATTGTGGTCAATGACCACCGCGGAAAGCGATATCCGCTGGTAAGCAGTAATGCGGCATCATGTGCAAATAAAATGCACACGGGAAACCCGAAAGTTATAGAACACTAGGTCAATTTTCTTTTCCAGTTGGTAGTTCCACGTTTGACCTCCCGAACGTTGCACGTACACAGTGTCTGCACCGCGATGCGTGGAGTTGCGTCATAAGCTCCTTCAAATGTACAGTCCCACTTGCTCTGTTCCTCAATGGCGGCTACTTACCGGGTTCATTCGTGATCAGTTGACCCATGCACTTTTAACTATTGATCGCTCGTTTGACCCAAAGGAAAGATAGTCTGTCGTGGACAGCACTGTTATTACGCGTTAAGTAGAGGTCTGCGACCAACTATTCTGTCAAGAACTTTTACTCTGTTGTGGCTGTAACTATGAGCGATCTTATCGGGACTAATCAGGCAGACAATCAACAAACTGGTTTACAGAGATGGCTTAGTGGTTAGAGCGCGAATTTACTGACTGGAAGGTTTGTGGTTCGAATCCGACTTCTATCTCTCAACTTGCCCTGTCTAGGCTTGTGCAACCTGGCAGTGTTCCAGCCCTCGTGCTTCCTTCTAGCGGCATGGCAGCTAGGCACCAAAAGGGTGCTACAGCTGAATTATATAGTATCGTAGCTCCCGTCCACATGGGAGTCAGCAGTGCACTGTGTGCTTTGCGCTTGCAACTCTTTGACATTGCATTTTGAATGGTTGTTTCACGAGTTCCCTTTTCTGTATCTCGAAGAGACATCAAGCTGTAGTCCAACAGACCAGCTTCTGCGGTATCTACTCGCTACTGGACCGACGACTCTAGGTATTTTGTGGTTTTGCTTCCACACCAATGGACCGATACGGGTTATGGGATTTTTATGGACATTCTCAGAGTTATAGATAGCAATCCAGGATACAACAGATTCGCGAACGGTATCTGCCGGATAAAAAAACAGTCGAATTGACGATGTAGCCATTTAATGTTACGGTAATCTTTTTTTTTGGGAAACTTCTTTCGGGTGCACCCAAACCAATCTGAATGTCGAGGTTTTGATGGTTCGGAGGTTCGATCCGAGACGAGGGCACAAATCTAACAAATAGGCAGTGAGTGAATGGGGGGAAGTTAATGACCGCATAGATGTGTCCGTTTTTCTCTAAGTCTTACAAGCCATCGTTTGATCCTTTGCTATAATTCTGCAAACGAGCCTCCACTCAACGATTTCTTGACGTATTGTTCGCTTTCAGCCATGTACCACATCAGACAATAGTCAGCAGGCTGTTCATTCGTGATCTTCCGAGTGTTCTGTCTCGCTTTGCGAAGGCACCGAATGTTTGGTCGTTTTGGTGCAAACAAAATCGCTCTGTAGGAAAGCCACTAGTGAAAGCACCTTGTGATACCACGGATCGAAGCAACAAACCGGTGCATTCAGTCACCAATTGACCGGCAGTGCTCATGCCTTGACTTACTCCAGATGCGTGGGACTCAGTCCAACCCACTTTATCTGATAAACGAAACCAGGTTTAGATGTAAACAGTCGTACGGTGGTTGTCTGGTTCACGATCTTCCATGCCGTTAGTAAGGGGGAAGCAATCCACAGAATACTGTATCGCTACATTATACCCTTCAGTGTTTGTTGGATTGAAGTTTCCCAATAATAGAAATGCTGAGATGTCACTGGGCAAGGCCGGTAGTTTCATGGTTCGAACCCAAGAATAGCGTCTCGACTGTTTCTGTCCGTTTTGGGAAACTTGACAATATATCAGCCCACGTGCTTCCTTCGGGTAGCCGTGCGCCGAAATGGTACTGTGGTTGAACCATAGGAGAAATGCAATTGCGTGATGTGAAAAAGCGGATGTTGTAAAATCGAGCTCATTCCCAAAGTAGCTCCTTACGAGACTGTTCATCTTAATGTTGAACAAATTGGTGATCAACTCAGACGATATCGGTGATTTATCATCATGTTTTTGATGTTTGGACAATGTGGTTGACTAAAGCAACTCATTTCAGGCATTGTTTCTCGCAAACCTTCATCTTTGTTTATATCGAGTATTCTCTCTGAGGGAGATTTAGACCTGAAGAGAAACCTCCTCTAAAGAGAGCCTACTATGCCAGCAAAACGCTGTTCGGTAGCATATGGGTTTTTGGGCTACCTGGCAAATATGCATCATAAAGCCCTATAATTGGCCGATCGGAGATGATCGCTGAAATATCTGGTAAGACCAAATCGTTTACATGTCTATGTAAAAGATCCAGTTGATAGGACTCTGAGTGCTTATTGAAGTATAACTGAGGGACGAATGAGCATCCGTTAGTCTCATCTAATAAGCTTGTCCCTATTAAGAGCGCCAGATGTTGTGGATGACGTACGCATCAGCTGCTGTTCTCCCGGATGTTTTTTCAACTGCTGATTTCTCAGAATTCAACGGTCATGCGAAGTGTCGACTTTCCTCCCAAGGGAGGTAATCACTGGTTGTGCACATCGTATGAACCACTTCACCATGACTATACTTGAGCTTCGGGTTGACTTGAGCCTCAACTTCAAGCTTCTGATAGGAGAACAGAGCTTTTTATCTCTAGGTGGTGAGGTATGCATCAATCGGGTGATACCGAGGATTTTTTTATACTGAAAGACCGTATAAATGACATAGATAAAACAAAATCACACATTTTCGAGAAATAGCATCAATCGGTGATACCGAGGATTTTTTTTATACTGAAAGACCGTATAAATGACATAGATAAAACAAAATCACACATTTTCGAGAAATACACTCATTTGCAAATCAATTTGGTTTTCACGAGAGACTCAACTGAATCAGAAAGGTGTCTCATGCGATTTTTGGTATTGACAGATTTTCTGTACCTGTTCTTTCGTTTCTAATAGAGTTCCGCTTCGATGCGTTACGAACATATGCTTTCCAAAGCACGTCAGCTACTCGAACAGACGCGTTCCCAGCACCAACAACAGTCCTTGGCTCACCTCCCCTACACAGATGCTCTCCCTCCACTGGCGAGTACACGAAAACCACGCCCACACTCTACTTTTGGGATGCCTAACTGCGGACCCCTAGAGAAAGTCAAATCTAGCTCCGGACCGGATGGCAGCGCGGAAACTCACCAGACAACCCGGCATTCATCCACAAGTGGGTATTCTTACCTTCCACCTTACCTAGATTTTACAGTTGGGCTGTCTAAACTAAGCATCATTTTGTGCCGTCGATTGATCAGATTCTCCTAACGCGGATATCTTATGGTCATGATTGAAGAATCTCCATAAGTAACCCAAAAGAAAACACCAAGTGAGTGCATGTTTTCGTCCTTAAACCAGTTTCCTGTATTCTGGCTTGGAATCGACTTTCGGTCAATGTTTCTGGACAGAGTATTGATTGCGTATCGGATATTGGGGCTTTCTCTTCATATCAGCGAGAAATCCTATCGCCAAACGGATGTGGCGTATATGACTCTTCCTGGAGGCTACTTGAGTAAATTTAAGAGGACCTGGAGATTAGTTAGGTTCAAAGGAAGCACCCCGGAGAATCGTGGCATAGGCAAAATACCCAATGCTACCCAACGTTCGTTGAACTGTCGTGGGTTGCCAAATGATAATTCATTTGGTGAAACCACTTTAGGATCAATCATCTAGCCCGTTGTGACAAAATGCACAGCGATTGAAGATGCGGGATCCCTATTCTCCGTTTCGGTGTTGCGGTTTTCCAATACCATCAATTGTCTCCGCAAACGTTGAAATTGTCGCCGTTCTGTTGCGTCGCGGGACCTCTTTTGAACTTATAGAATATTTCGTTGATTCAACGTGCGTGTAAACTGCACCTCTAAGTAACTTGTTGAGCAATACGAAAACAGATGGGGAACGCCATAGTTACGGTGAACGAGTCACGACTACTGAGGTTGCGATTGCCGCTAGATTCGTTGTAGGGCAAGGAGACATCAGTACTGATGTAACGATGGTGTATATTTTTTCTCATTCGACGATGTTCGACACTAAAATTCGATCTCTTCGACGTATACCACCAATGTGAATGTTAGTCAGGCGATGTGCTCCGACGTTTACGACGTTGGTCGATTTCAAAAAATCCCTACACTTCTAATCAAAGGCCTTCAAGTACTGCAGACGGAATTTTCACAGTGAGGCAGTTCCCAGTCCATCTTTGCACCACAGTGTTTCTGTAATTGTTATCGCTTTAATATTGTGAGACACCAATGGGTGCTACAGCTGAACGATGCACATGGTACGTTTACGGTGGGAAAACACGAAAAAAAGATAAATAGTTCTACCGCTAACATCTTTGCAGTAACAAGAATCGGAACAGCGAGTCTACCCAGAAACAAATCCCTCTCTCTAGCGAACGAATTTAATCCTAAAAATTGTGAAATTTGAAAACCGTTTTAAGGATCTTCAGAAATGCGAGCAGTTGAGGACGTATCACGCAGCTGCCAATTCCGTACGGACGCCATTGCGAATCAACCACCAACACTGAAATGATACCCTTCTAACTGGTCCGTGTGAACGATCGTGAACCAAAGGAATCGAAGCTATTGCAAATCTCCTGCCGAGCGGTTATCATGACGCTTGCTAGGCCGTTCAAAAGTGACTAGTTCGGGCTTCGTTGCCAAGACCGTATAAACTGTCTTTCACAACGATAAGTCACGTCACCACCACCGATGACATTGTCTGTGGTTAAGTGCAACAGGAGGTTCCGGCCGTTTTTGTTGCATCTAAGGCCGATGCACTTATTGGTTTATCAGGGAGAGTGAAAAGCCTGTGTGTCTAATTCATCCTTGTATTGTTTTTTAACCTACTCCTACACTGCTACTTAAACTTGTATGGCTGTGAGACTTGGCTTATTCGAGCAGCAGAACCGCGAATTCTTCAGGTGTTCGACCATCGTTGTCTCAGAACCACAGCTCATGTGGGTTGGGGTCGGTGAATCCGTAACGGGACAGTTAGAAAACGCGTTTTCGGTTGTGCAGTGGGTACTTCCATAGAAGAATGTGTCCAGCACCAGAAGCTGCGTTGGTTAGGACATGTGTTACGCATACCGAACCATCGTTTGCCGAAGATAGTGTTGTTTTTCATGCACAATTCAGAGTGGCGTAAACAGAGAAGTGGCCAACCCTTGACTTGGCAGAAGAGTATGAAGGAAATCACGAAACGCTTGGGTGCTGTTGGTGCTACTCGCCTTCCAGGATGGGGACCGCGTGATCCTCACTGTGCCTGGTTGGAGACACTACAAGATATGGCTGCCAACCGATGTCAGTGGCGTTCTTGTTGTCAGTTTCTATCCAGATTGCCTGAGTGAATGTCTGGAGGTGTAGGCACCTCGGAATGATTGTGTTAAGCTAGCACTAAGTCCCTCCCCCATCCACCTTTATTCTTTTCTTCACAATAAGGCTTTGAAACAAGTCATGGTTGTACGGCAGTGAAGCATCGGTGTTGAACACTGATGTCATTCTGTCGATGATGATGATGATGATGATGATGACGATGATGATGATGATGATGGTGACGATTAGGTGACGATGGCGGCTGGTCTGTTCAGGGAGAACAAATATCTGAACATCTTTTGGGACAGTGAACGAGCAGTTGAATACATTTGTGAGGCCTTGAAATGTTTGTTTGGTTGTGCCCCCCTTCCCCCTCGAAGCGAGCAATTTTCCGTATTACCGAAGTCTTCTTTTTTGTGTTGCGACTAAGCAGTTATCATTCCGACTTCTGTCCAAGCCCAACCGGAATGAAATTATGCTAATGAACGCCTTGGGGTACCCTAGACTTCGTTCTTCTCTTACGTCGCACTACAGCTATTCACTAAAAAGCGGTCGCAGCCGAACGGTCTCATTTGGTTGGTTGCACCACTAAACCAGATCGGCCAATCAAATAGCGTATATTTTGATCTGTAGTTTGACATACAGCTTGCGGGTTGTGGGAGTTCGCACCTGTCTTGAAACACTGGCCATATGAAATACTCGACAAGGGAGCTTCTCTTCGCCAGTTCGTTTTCCTTGATGCTCCAAAAAACATCCAGATCAATGGAAACGGTCCAGTGAATAAATGGTTTGTTTTCCTATGTCCGATCCCAAAAGCTCGAATTCAAGTAATTTGACATACACCCGTCTTTATCAAGGTGCCTTACATCGTATCAGTCGACCAACGTACGGTAAGTCATCAAAGCCCCTAACAGCGCCATATTGATTTGAGCAGCCGCTCTCTAAACCGCCCAACGCCCGATTTAATGATATGAGTGAATTATTTATCTTTGTGTTGCTGCCCTGCTAGCGCTGTGGTTACAACGTAATTGAACAATTATATGAGATCAATACACATTGTCTTTTTTCTTTTCCTTTTCTGCTCCTTCCTGTCCCCCTCCTTGATGTGTGAACATTCACTGTCACCAACCGTGGTTGCTACTCACACGGCTTACATCTCACTGTATCACATAACTGCCTGTTTTTTCCTGCAACAATGGCGCGCTTTGTATGCTTACCAAATGGGTTTTTTCTCAATGCCTGTGCCTCATTCACATTGCTTGTCCTGCTTCATCCTGGACGCATGTTTTCTGTATGTTTGTGATGCGGTTTGGGACTACCCCATTCTCGAATGCTCCACATTCAGAACGCAGAAAAACCCCCCGAGTGCTAATGCGGTTCAACTCAGATGGTATGTAATGCAACAGTTGTGACCTTGAGCTCATTGTTCGTTTGTTTCATTTCACATCTCTGGTGTTTGCTAACCAATGAATACGCGCCGACTGCACCTGCAGTATCCTCTCCCATATAATGTGGGATACACTTAGCCTGATAACATTTCCAAATGCCTGCACTTCCGTCTACTCTGACCACCCAAATGCATGACATCTTCCATTGTTTGCTGGTTTTCCACTTCACATGTATACTGCCCCCGATCCACTCATGCTCAAAGTTAGGCATCAATCATTCTAGAGCTTCTATATTCCTCCTACTTTGCTTGCGATTTTGTGGAATCTTGTCGAATATATTCGTAGAACTGCAAGGGAAAACCGGAAAACCCCTATTATTAGGCAAATTGCACGGTTTACCGTTAGCTTTTACAACTTTGCTGCTCCCCTATAACGCTTTTAGTTGCGCTTTGTACGCTTCTGCCCATCTGTCCTCTCGATTTTTCTTTGTCTTTGCGTCGTCCCGTCGATCTGCTTAAAAGATGATCGCCCAAACCGGGTGTTCTTCCGACTGGTGTAACTGCTGCCCTGATGCCGCCCGATCTGAGGACCTGGTTCACTGTGCATCGCGAAAGAAATAGATTGGTCATTTAGATGGGCCATTCACATTTTGCATGCATTTTATGCACTTGTCTCGATAGTTACTTTTCTTTTGTTTGAACAAGTGTGACCACACATTTGGTACTTGCTCACACATCAGTTACACCGAGCTATTTATATACCTATGAACTAGCACGCACTGGGCGATGGTCCCATATAAAACGGAACTGTCGCTGAGGCGGGTCGCGAGAAAATGCGCCAAAGTTGTGAGAGCCCTCAGAAAGTATTCCACCAAACACAAATCGTTCACTTCATACATGGTCTCTAGTTTTCAGTATACGTCTTGGTTGCTGTTTTAATGTAGACTGGACAAAGCTTAATGACGTGATTTTGGGTTTATCGCCTGCTGTGCTCTCATATCTAGCTGGTACAAGCGATAAAAACCGATATCGACCCATTAGGGAAACCCGCGCTACTTTGCGGGATCATCCAGAATCACTCAGAACCAACAATCTGCAAGTAGCTGAGAGGGAGAATAATTCCACAGGATGAATGAAACCTCCACCTGAGAATTCGTCACCCGAGGTGCCAATCAAAATGTAGTCACGTGATGTGGTTTCCCTGATTGAAGAGAGAGTGGCGCTCTATCCTCTCTAATTGCGAGCTAATCACAGTGCTGATTAGCCGTTCGTGATGGAACGTTTGAGTGTCCAAACCACTAGGTTGGTGGCTCGAAACTCCCTGGAGTTTCGTGTTAATGATCCCAATAGAGATAAAACAGCTGTACAGTACTTTTCGGCTTTTCAGCATAAATTGGCTTAAATTACGGGACGAACTCTCAATCGAAAACCCCGAACCTAGCTGAGACTCGGCTTCCGGCTCAGGTTTAACTAGTGGCGTGCATCTTACTAATATTTTGCAACACTTACCTCTTTAGAAAACAAATGTGTAGTAAACTTGCGGCGCTGACTGAATATATGTGCATCCGAGATCTGTGTGTCTTGTAGATTGTTTGCTCATATTCGTCGACTATTCTATCGCCATTGCTTACATAGCAGAATAGAGGCTGTCTGGTTGCAGCTTGTTCACAACGGAAATGGTGCGTGAGTTATCACTTGCTTACGGATGGCAATCGCTGTGGCACTAACTTAGGTTTATCAGGTCAGGTTGTTCGGGGTGTGTACCTAGCGTGACCAGGCACTGTCGGTTAAGGCACTGGTCTCTGTTCGAAACGTCATGCTGGCCCACGTGACGTGTGAACACGAAAGGGAAGTGGCTATAGCTCGGTTCTGCGGACGGACCTGGGAAAGGAATCGTAACCAGGGGCTTTACCTCAATGGTGGCTTCTCAAACCCAAATTAACAATCAGTAGGTCAACTTTCGAGAATCGCTTGCACAAATACACACGGCCGATCTCAGTGGTCAGATTCGACTGAATGTATGCCACACCACATCATTTCCAACGTTCTTCGCTTTGTTATGGTTAGACCGAAACGTTGATTATTTCATTACTTATCCTGAATCTAAGGACCGCGACATGGCTAGATATCCTTGTCATATGTAGGATTGATGGACCTGTTTACAGAAACTACCTGGCCATCTCTGTATGTGCTTTTGACGGTTTAGACTGTTAATGCGAGCAAATCGCTTGGTCATATCGGACTGTTTCCCGAGAAATGAAACTTCTGACAATACTCTTTGAAGGAGGTGGATATCCTTGACATTTAGTTGCCGGTCACGCTGATGGGGGACTTAAACGACTTCAGCCAAGAAGCCGGCCCTCAAACAGAGGAGAATGCAACGATAATGGAAACTCAGTTATTAACATCCGCACTGAGGCGTGCATTCAGTGCACCAGAACTGCGAGCTCTCAACCAAATCCATGAGCCGCCACTACTTTCACTGAGAAGAAGCCAATCCACTGGAGCCAAATTACACGGCGTGCATAAAACTGCGGTGCAAGCAGGTTTTTAACATCTTAGTCCGATTTTCGGTCGTGGTCGTGACTAATCTCGCTCCTGTTATTCATGTACTGTGTCGTCCTGATTGGCAGATAAGTTTTAATAGGGGCTTTCTGATCCACGGGTGACAGTCGGAGCTAACAGTCCATGCCGTCCATGGGTCAAATCTGGAACGATCCATCTGATTTCAGGTTCCGAGACAGTCCACCACTGAACTGGTTTTGCAGAGTCACTGAAACTCAGCGGAGGATCGTGATCTTCTTAGTTAACAACAATTTCAGCAGCTGCGGTACTTCGTTCTCGAGGAACCTTCATGAGTTACCTCGATAAGGTTGTTTTACTTTGGAAGGATTAGGGAGAAGTGACTCCTAGAACCGTGTAAATACCTGGTTCATGGGGGCACTGAAATTTCGATTGTACAGTACACCCTCTCTTCAGCAACCGTTCCTGAAACTATTTCGTTTCCAGTTGGACTGTGCGTATGAAGAAGGGACTTATTTTTTCATTTCAGCGTTGATCGTCACTCCTAATATGTGTTCACTTGTGACTCAATAGCTAACCGACAAGTGCGTCGAATATAATGTTCTCCACACGTTATACAGCCTCCCTTGAACTGTCCTCCCTCCTTTACTCTGATATCTTGCAGACGTCCTGTGCAGTAAGTTTTTCCCCAAAGCAACGCTTTATTCTTTCACTTATCAGGGGAACCCGATTGGTCGACTCGTATCATTTTGTTTTTGTTTCTCCCTCATTCTTCTTGTTTTTTTTGCTGTTTGGTTATTCTCACGTCTAGGGACGATCTGTATGCCCAACGGAACCTCAGCTGCTACGGGCGGTTCGACAGCATCAGCTGTGACGACAACGGGCCCCCAATCTCCCTCACCACGGAAGGCTGTGATCAGTAATAGCTTTACTTCGACGGACGGTGTGAAGGTATTACATTTGAAGTTGTCTCAGTTAAATCTTTTCGCTTCTGGCCGCGGAAGCACGGCTCCTGTGCCGATTCGAATCGGAGAGCATCATTTCAGTGCGAAGACTTCCAGTTCTCCTACTGTAACACGGGTAGGTTGGTGCGCATGTGTAGTATATTTGTACATATATAGTAGTTTTATTCTTGTCCTACGGCAGTGAAGCTTCAGTGGCTACACTGATGTTGCTGTCTTTGATAATGATGATATCCTACATCACGAGATAGCTCAGTGGTTAAGACGCCAGCTTACAGACCGGAAGGTCTGTGGTCTGAACTCAACCTCAGTATCTCGACTGCTCCCGTCTAGACTTGGGCAATCTGGGAGTATCTCAGCCCTCATGCCGCCATCCGTTGGCACGGCAGCTAGGCATCGGAAGGGTGCTACAGCTAGACGATTTCATCTTTCATTTACACTACGGTACTAGGACATTTTTTTCTACTGCTTATGCCATAGGCCTCAAAACTTTTTTCATTGGCGAACTGCTCGGTTATCTTTATATGTCTCCAAAGGCCAGCTGGGTATAAGGTTAAGCTGGAGGATTATCTTCTCTACAGTGATTATTCCGCTAAATTGATTACTTTTACCGGGCACTGTTACATTCTCTTCGTGGCTTTTCCTGCTCCTGGTTAAACTGGAACCGTGTAAGTTTAAACGACAGAATCCGTGTTGATCGTCTGTCTGTTGAAAAGTCAAGCAACACTGTACAGCCAACAAAAATTAGCCAACACCCTGATTTTGCTATAAATCGTCAGTTGTTGTTGGCGGTGACAGTGTCCCCTATATTATCGGGGCGTACGACAGCCACCGTAGAGATGTCGTCCTATAAGTGATGTTGAAAAGTCAAGCAACACTGTACAGCCAATTGTTTGATTCTTATTAGGACTCATCAGCAGCACGTGTCTCACGTAATTTCAATCGAGAGTCTTGAACCCGCAACCTCGCATCTACTAGTTCGGACTCAACCGTTTGGCCACGAGCGGCAACTAGGTACACATACTGAATAGTGTGCAAGTAAGGCGAGAGTTCTTGACAGGGATAGTTCATTGTTCGCCTTCGCTAATATGTTATCGATCAGTACTTTCGGCGGTCCCACTGTGGATCCTACTAGCTACGTTTTCCTCACGAAGATAACTGTCTTTGATATGTGATTTACCTGATCTTTTGTTCGACACCTTGTATTAATATTCGCCCACTGTGATTTTTCCTTCTTCCCTCAGAATGTGATAAGGGTGGAACCAGAAAACTCAGGTATGGTTTTTGTTTGTTATCGTTTGTCGGTTACTCTCGACTCGTCGCCGATTGGTTAGACACCCTGGCAGTCACTTTGTTTATGGTTGATATATGACAGTTGAAATTAGCATGTTGAAAATCTAATACCTGGTGCAAACTGTGATTTGTTCGCTGTGCTGCGGTACACAATGATCTGTCTTATATTTTGCCCCATAATTGATGAGAAAAAGCCGAGGTCTTCATCCTTCCGCCTTATTTCTAGTTCCTGTTCCAACGCTTCCTGGCAAACTGCACGCTCATAGATCTTCTTGGTGAGGCCAGCTTGCACTCCACAAATTGCCTACGCCACTGTTGCAATCGTTTCGCTACTGTTGTCCTACGCCCATTTGTGGTTTGTTTTCCGAAGAATATAGATTTGGTTAAAAGTGACTTTTCCTCACCGTCTATCTTGCTTTCCCACGCTTTTCAGACACGTTGCATCGGCTTAACCCGGTGGATTCGAAACAGCCATCTACTCGAGCGGTCCCTAGCACTACCATGGTGGAACAACCGCCCGCCTTGTCAAACTACATCAAAAACGAGCAAGATGAATTGGATCGGGCACAACAAGAATTGGACCAAGAGGCTGCAGATTTAGAACAGCGTTTACGACACCACATGAAGAGTGCCCCGGGAACCGCGGCCGAGGAAGAACTACTTCGTCGCTGGTTTGTGTTGGTTAGCAGGAAAAGCGCTCTCATCCATCGAGGGCATCAGCTCTCTATTATGTAAGTGGGCCTAACACGCTTCTTGGCTTCTTATCTTGGTTTGAGGGTACTCCTAGAGTATGAGGGAGCAATAGGTTGAGCAAATGTGAGGGTTGCTAACTGGAGGTTCGCTTCGTTGGAAAGAAGGAATATCTGTAGAATTACCTTCTCACGGTTCTCTCCTTACATGGTTCATTTATTAAATATCGGCTATCTTGGAACTACGCTTTTGAGGCATGTAGTTATAATCAACTGCTTGTTAAAACTGCAAGCATTCGCCGCATGCAGATTTCAACCACTTAAAAAAATGGTAGTTATTCTAGAGTGGCAATCTGTTGCGCTGTTGTTGGCCGTCCCACAGTCTCTTGGGACGTAACAGTGTTACGCAGCGGTCAACGACCTTGAAACCTATAGTTCGTTCATGGATCAGTCTTTGTCTTGATGATTGGTATACCATTCTGATTAAGTGGTGATAGTTCTTTCTGTGCACCCTTGCTACCTACCACTCCAACCGTGTCAAATGATCCAATAAAATTTAGAGTTGATTAGATCAGAATGAAATTATGGATCTTTGCTTTCACTCTTCCCTGATACGATTATTTCTGGGGATATAGCTTTACAAGCTCTACCCGGAAGATCTGATAAAATGTTTGCACAGCTCACAACGGTTGACTGTTTGGTGAGACATTTTGTCGGCATCCCGTAGTTCCCTACCAGCTAGTAACAATCCGCGAATTCGTGTTTAATGATCGTTTAATGCACAACAAATACTACTAACTGATTACTGCGGGCTGCGTTGATTATTTTTTTTAAAAAATGCGTGTTTCGCTCGCACGAGTGGGGCGAGATGGCTAAATGCATAGAGCACGAATTTACTGACTGGAAGGTCCGCGTTTCGGAACCCGCCTCTGCATCTCGACTTCCCCCGTCTAGGCTTGGGCAACTTTGCAGTTAGGCACTGAAAGGGTGTTATAGCTGAACGATTTTTTCGTATGAGTGTTCTGTCCAGTCTCTCGTTACATGAGCAACCATTGGCTGGAACACCGCACCATTAATCGAACTCATTCACTGATTGGTCTTCTCTCACCCCCCTCCACGACTTGCTCAACCATATGTCGAAACTTTGGCGTGTTCGGTAGGCCGTTTTATTATGGAACAAGACTTCCCTACGTTGGCTGGAACCTATCCAGGTGTACGACTGAAATTTAGCAAATCAGTCCACTGATAATAAAAAATAGAAGTATCATTGTTCAGCTGTAGCACCCTTTCGGTGCCTAGCTTCCATGCCACCCGAAGGAAGCACCAGGGCTGGGATACTGCCAGGTTGGCCAAGTCTAGACAGGGAAGTCGAGGCAGAGGTCGCGTTCGAAACACAAATATTTCGGTCAGTAAATTCGCGCTCTAACCACTGAGACGTTTCGCCCAATCAGTCCACTTATAAGACGAAGAATATGCGTATTCTAGCCAGTCTGTCTTTTCGAGAAATACACTAATTTGCAAATCAATTTGGTTTTCACGAGAGACTCAACTGAATCTCTCGTTTATGATGTTCTGTCTTTTATTGTTTGTTCTCTGTATTTCTCTCTCCAGGGAAAAGGAAGACGATCTTAAAAAGAAGATTGAGATGCTTCAAGAGGAATTGCGCCGAGTTCTATCGATTGAAGGTAGGTGGAGATGCGCTACCCTTTCCCGTGGTTGATATTTTGGCGTGTTTCCAGTGGCCGTATCTCCTGACCTCCTCATTGTTAAATTGTTTTTCTGTTTTCGGTGGACTTCAAGTTCCCAAATTGGTTAAATTTGTGTATCCCATGAATCCAATCAATTGCTTCGATTTCACATTGACGCGAACGTTAAGCAGTTGGGTCGCAGATAATAGTCTTAGGATTGGGTGTTTGACGTAAAATCAGTTGTTACCCGAATGACCAATACCCTCCCGTTGAATTTTTCAACAACATAACCAAATGAGTGTGATACTCACCCTCTGACTAGCAGTGAACTCTGGATTGAGCGGAAATTTGTGTTAAATAGTCTTACAAGCGCCTTCCCGGTCCCTCCTGAGTTTCACTTTGAATTGAGCCAAGGCATTGATTCATCGCTACGATGCTAGCATTTACCAGGTACGAACCTCACTTTCATGATCGTGGATGACCAGTCTCGAGTGAACAGTCTCAAACTTGTCCAGTTTTGATGAGCTTCGTTCAACTCTGTGAATCGCATTAGTTAAGCAACTGATACTGAGCACTACTCAGTAGGGAGAAAGTGTCCTTTCAGTGTCATGTACTCGATCTGACAAAAATGTAGGCAAGAAAATATCTGAGCTACGCATAAGTACAGCATTACCACTTTCGCTTGAAGATCTGAAGGCTTCAGCAGCTAGGGTGAAATGTACTAACCTAACCAGAATCTAACCAGAGATCGTTGTCATTCAAATCTTGTTCAGAGATAAAGATTTTGGTTGGTTTCATGTATGTCCTGTCTACCATTCTTCAAGACATCAGCCTGTCGCAGATCCTAGACACCGTTTAACCGGCTTGTGCATGTGCTTACCTTGTCATAAACCAAAGCATCCTCGTTTGATACCTTTTTCGCGCATAGCTAGTGTACAATCCTATTTAACCGTGGGGACTAATATGTTGCCGGATTACCAAAGCGTATGCAGTAGCAGTTTAAAGATCGGATTTCGGTCCAGTGGTTAACTGCTGACGCAGCCTCTGGTTCTTAAGCTACGGAACTCTCTGTGTGAAGACTATCAACCACGAAGTCTGACTACCACCACGTTCTTTCAGCTCCGAAACTGCTGATGACTCGCTATACATCATTGTTATTGAATTCCATATGAATGGACCGGCCTGAAGCATGAAATGTGACAGAACCACAGCTGCCTTCGTTTATCTGCACCTATTCTTCTTTGAATACGCTCGTCTAATTAGGAAGTTAGAAAGAATCAAAACAGCATTGTAGGTTATGATACGATCGTGGCTAGTCGTTAGTAAAGCTTTCTACAGCCATGTGAATCGTTCAGCTGTAGCACGCTTTCGGTGCTCAACTGCCATGCCACCAGAAGGAAGTACAAGGGCTGGGATACTGCCAGTTTGCCAAAGCATAGACAGGGGAAGTCGAGGGGCAGAGGTCGGGTTTGAACCACGGACGTTCCGGTCAGTGGTTGACTCTCTAACCACTGAGCCACCTAGCCCCCATGTGGATGTGGGTGCACAAAACCGTCATACGATGACTGATGCTTGGCAGAAGTTGATCATGGTCACTGAAACATTGGAACTTTAATGGATAATTGTTAAGTTAGGTGAGCATATCAACAGCCACCTGATCAGCTGTCAATGCCCCACACTGCTGTGTCAATTTAATTACCGGGATAAAAATGGTCAAACTTAAAATAATGTTGGGTTGATGCTAAATAGTGATGTTTTTTTTCTATTCTCTTCGATATGCCATTGTTCCTCATACCTTATCTATCAAATGCCAACTTCGACTGGTGATTCATACAGTGGACGGCTCAATAATAGCTCCATGTATGTCTGTTTCTACTTCTCATATTCTTCGCCCTTATAACCGTGGGGGGACTTAGGAGGTGAACCTGAATCGTAAAGGCAGTACTTCAGGCCTATACGCACTTGGTCACGAGCCACGTGTCTGATATCTTCCTAACCAACATGTGTGCCAGGTCACCCCACTCCTCATGTGAATCCTTGTTGACCTGTGTCGTTCTGTGTCTGTCTGTAGCGCAGTTCGCGTTGCGGTACTTCGGACGTTTTGCGTTGCCTGTTAATCCCCCCTCGTCTGTATTCCCTTCCATCTGCTCACTCGTTCCCCCCTCATGGTCTGACACATCCCACTGGCCTTTCACCAAATACACTCCTGCATACCGTTTTGTTTGTTTGGAAGACCGCCACACTGGCTGCTATAACTGTCACCCCCCCCCATACTGTAATCCCAACTTTTCGGCGATCGTGGCTAGTCGTTAGTAAAGCTTTCTACAGCCATGTGAATCGTTCAGCTGTAGCACGCTTTCGGTGCTCAACTGCCATGCCACCAGAAGGAAGTACAAGGGCTGGGATACTGCCAGTTTGCCAAAGCATAGACAGGGGAAGTCGAGGGGCAGAGGTCGGGTTTGAACCACGGACGTTCCGGTCAGTGGTTGACTCTCTAACCACTGAGCCACCTAGCCCCCATGTGGATGTGGGTGCACAAAACCGTCATACGATGACTGATGCTTGGCAGAAGTTGATCATGGTCACTGAAACATTGGAACTTTAATGGATAATTGTTAAGTTAGGTGAGCATATCAACAGCCACCTGATCAGCTGTCAATGCCCCACACTGCTGTGTCAATTTAATTACCGGGATAAAAATGGTCAAACTTAAAATAATGTTGGGTTGATGCTAAATAGTGATGTTTTTTTTCTATTCTCTTCGATATGCCATTGTTCCTCATACCTTATCTATCAAATGCCAACTTCGACTGGTGATTCATACAGTGGACGGCTCAATAATAGCTCCATGTATGTCTGTTTCTACTTCTCATATTCTTCGCCCTTATAACCGTGGGGGGACTTAGGAGGTGAACCTGAATCGTAAAGGCAGTACTTCAGGCCTATACGCACTTGGTCACGAGCCACGTGTCTGATATCTTCCTAACCAACATGTGTGCCAGGTCACCCCACTCCTCATGTGAATCCTTGTTGACCTGTGTCGTTCTGTGTCTGTCTGTAGCGCAGTTCGCGTTGCGGTACTTCGGACGTTTTGCGTTGCCTGTTAATCCCCCCTCGTCTGTATTCCCTTCCATCTGCTCACTCGTTCCCCCCTCATGGTCTGACACATCCCACTGGCCTTTCACCAAATACACTCCTGCATACCGTTTTGTTTGTTTGGAAGACCGCCACACTGGCTGCTATAACTGTCACCCCCCCCCCAGCCATCGGTCTCATAAAGAACAAAAGTCTGAAAGGAGATCGATAGAAAAATTGGCACTTTGTACATTGGGCAGCTGGCACACCAACCACATGTTTGTGACTAGCAACGGATGAAGTGATAGGAACCACGGTTCTGGGTCGGATTATAAACCTTTTGACCGCATTACATCACGGCAGGTTTTTCCGTAATAGCCGATTCCATTTGGTCCATATTGTTTACTCCCAGTGAATTCTGATAAGAGACGGACTAGGTGAGAATACTTTGTCGTAAACAGACTTACAGGTTAAATGGAGCAAAATACTGTTGACTCGAATTCAGGATCCCTAGTTGTATAGTATTCTATAATCGTTAAATGCTCGTGGTGTGGACCCTCGGAAACGTCTGGGACCATCACACGTCGTCTGTGTGATCCAGTACTCGGACATCAAAATCAGCCGTTGCTTTTATCAACCAGTTATCCTATGATACACCAAATACATGGGTAACTATGCTACACGTTAGAGAAGTCCTGATCCATACTATTGTATTTTCCTTTCGTATGACAGGCTTGCACTAGTCTCAAGACGATGTTGCCGACAATAGATCTTCACTCGTGTCATGGTTTCTCAGTGTTTTTTTCGCTCTTGTGTCAAACATGGGTCGGGTTTCCATCCCTTCTGTATGAGTTTACGTGCTTAGCATCCTATCAAATTTTGAACCGGCCCAACCAGTCGGACCGACAGTCGTGCACACCAACACATACCCGCTGCTTTTTATGTATGATGCAGCTGTAACGATCGAATTCCCATATGGGTTATCGACGCGGTCGTGTCACCATATTTTCTGTGGCGCCCTTAGCATATGTTTAGTGCTATTGCCTGACTCGCTGATTTGTTCGTGATGCCAGATGATCTATCCAGTCAACGTGAAAAACAACCCGTTTTGCGGGCCCGACTGGTTTAATGCCTGATGAACGGCCTGCATGCTTCACCTGTTACCATGGTGTATATGGCTCATCGGTCTCCTCGCATAGCGAGTGAAAACATCATCACAGGTGGAATGTATTCTTTCCAACTTCTTCTTCCAGTTGAAAGGTGCTTTTTTTGGCGACATGTAAAATGTTTACTCCGGCTTAGCTTATTTTCGATCTCTTTCCTATGGGTGATGTCTCGTGCGTCATGTGTATTCGCTACGCTATCCCGGTGTAGAATGCTCTTCTCTGACATCCACTCAACACAAAGAATATGTTCGCTCGACCTACGACGCGTTTTATTCTCACTCGAGTTGTAACTGGCCTACAATAGGTACAGCGTCCTGTATTTTTTAAGCAAACTCCAAAAATCGCCATTTTTGCACCCATCCCTCAGTTTTCGAACAACAATTATATGAAAACACGAGTAATTCACCAGCGTAACTGTACAAACTTTCGAGCTTCATCTCGGTCTTTATCTGGGTTCTTTAGTTGTAGTCTATCTTCCCCTCCATATTGGTAAGACCAACCGTCAGGGTGTATCCCAATTGAGTTCCACGCCACCAAAGCTATATGCCTGTGTCTCCATGGGTTTGTTAAGCCACTGTCCCAACAGGGATGGATTACGGTGTTCCCGACAGGATTGGATGTTAGGAAGAAACCAAAGTAGCCCTGGCTGCAAAGGAATTCAGTATTTCCCTGATGTGTTGCCAGCTGGGGAATTACCACACATTGAGAGGTCGCTTAAAAAAGCCCTGCTCTAGTTGTCTTTTCGAGATAATTTTTCACCACTCGGCCAACCATTTGAATATGATCTTTGAAGGCTACGTAAGGTCTGTTAATAACTTGATACAGACGAGTTTTCTCCCACCGAATCCGACTCCATCCACTCCGTTCTTCCGCAGTTTTATTCACCGTTTCTGTCTTTGGAGATAATGGTTCGTATTCATGCACCGCAGGCAGTCCTGCTAATCAAACCCATGTGTTCACTGCACGGATGCACGAAAACATTGTACCAGCAACTTGGTCCTGAAAGAACGGGTTTCATTTTATCACTTCAAACTCTAGAACCCCCCATTGAGCACACTTATACTGACCACGCTGTTTATCGTTTTTTGTCGAAAAACGTGTGATTCGATTGCTCTTGAGTACTGAAACTGAACGGACTAGAAAATTTCAGGGCCTCTTCGAGAAGTGCCCGCTCGAACGGTTTCCAAGGTGTGCAACGTCTTTGTTAGTGATTCTGATACATCTGGTTGCTTTAGGTCACTTTCATCTTCCAGCATATTGTTTGCCCACTTCGAAACAGCAGTGAAGGGTTCTTCAGATCCTGGGTTTCAGTCGTCCTCGTTTGTAAGCTGGTTATAGTCTTCAGTTTCCAACGCGTCGTATGATGTGTAGATATTTGTCCTGAAGGACACCAAAGCCTTAACACTGTTTCTTTAAAGTTAGTTTTTGCTAGTTTTTCGTCAATCTCCTTTACTTGAAGTGATCTTTCGGCTCCACACCCTTGGAAATGTTCATCCAGAATCACTCGGTTTCGCCAAAAATCAGAACCTATGGCTCGGAAGTAAAGTTGTACTTTGCCGCTCATCAAATTCTTCGGATCTGACTAACATGTTCACACGTTGAATGTATACAAATCCAACAGTCACTTTCAGTTTACTGTGCTCCCAACTTGCGTACATCGGAACACATGTGCACTGAGACAAAATCTTATATGATTGTATCTTTGGAGATACGCATTTAGTGTCGAAATTCTCGCTTCTGGTTGAGAAGCGCCGAGCTCGAATATGTACTTCCGACTGGTTGCAATTCAGATTGATACGAAGCTCACTTGTGCCTGATCGTACTGAACCGTAGAACCGTGCAATCGGTGTGAAATTCGATCATCTCTGGTGGTTTAGCTTCTGCCAAATGCTCATCACATCGTTTCTTAGGTCAAGTATACATCTACTCGTATTACTGTTAATAGCACAATTCATTCACCAATCAGTTACATGCAGTCTTTGATCTTTTGCTTTTCCGGGCAGATCCCATTTGCTCGCACTGGTGGCGTTTGCATTACGTTGTGGATTTGTGCTTTTAACTTAAACTACTTTTTTCCAAGGAGTAACATGAGACGGAAATTACTGATTGGATGTGTTTCAGGGACTGCCAACAGTGCAGTATTGATCGTCTCCGGTCCCCCGCAATATCAGATTTATCCATATAGGTTCTGAAATGACTGTGCCAGTGTATAGTGTTTTTGACTTTTACTTGGTTGCTGGATATTTCAGAATTCATGAAAACCGACAGTGATAGACGACGCGAAGAACTTTTACTTCGGGATTTGGTTAAATTGATCAACGAACGGGATGATATGATCAAGGAGCTCGATCTTAATGAGCAGGCGTAAGTTTTTGAAGCTATCGTGTGCAAACCTCTAACTACTGTGCCTGAAAATTAGGTCTCATTGATGCCCTCGTCGTGTCGCGTGTATCGTTGGTTGTAATAATGAAATGAATCGCTCCGTTTCTGTGCATCCAACCTCTTCCAAGATTTGCTTTAACGAACTTTCGAACCATTCGATGGGTTACTCTGCTGCAACAGCCTCTTGTGGGAAGAAGAACTGAGCCCGAACAGTCGTTACCCATGCCAAATGGTTGCACTGTAGGCCGATTCCGCTTCCAGTGCCGGATTCGTGGAGAACGTAGGAAGTGTTTCCGATGTCAGACTGCCTCTCAGACGATCTCACCATCTTGTCTAAGTTAGTGGTGATAATGTAAGTTTGACCAGTTGTATTTCAAGTCGTCGAAGAATACCGGCAAGACACGGAATTTTGTGACAGCATGGCTTGACAGATCCACTGAAGACTAACCTTTCACCGTACCTTCGTTATTCGTCATGGACACCAGTGACCGAACGCTTCGAATCTGAACAGAATGCCAGATCTCGCAATTATACGCCAGCGTGGTTCAGTGGCGTAGCATACGTACGGAGCTTTGTAGTGCGACTTGTCTATGCGGACGAGGATTTCTCCTTTCGCATGCTTATTCTGTGAAGTGCCTTTTGGTTTTATCATATGAAAATCTAGTTAGAGGTTAAGAGGCTCACAAATTTTTTTTCCGGAGTTCAATCAGAGCGTATGTCACAACGGCTGCTTTGAGCGGCTTGTAGACACGGATATAACCAACACCAGCAATGAAGTATGCGAACGCTGGAAGATGGTTTTAAGACTCACTGGTTCAGTCACGGACAACAAGAGATTTGTATGAGGGAGGCTGAGCTTTGGAGTTGAAATCCGGTAGAAGTGATACGCTGGCTACATGTCTCATTAATGAGGATCGCTACTGGATGGATAGCCGCGCTTCAAAAGCGATAGATCGGATACTGGCATTTGACAGTGCCGTATCCTTTGGCCCTTCTAACGACTACTGTATCCCGTCCCAGTACCCAGGGACGGGTACCGGGTACTGCCACCCATTCAAGCAGGTGGCAACTTCTAACGCCACTTCATACTGATTTAACTACCTCTATTTCATCTATATGCAGTTGTTGTTGCCATGAAAAGTTCCCTGAAGTACTTCGACTGGTGTTCAAATAGTCTAACCAAATAACTCAGTCTATGGAGTGTCGTCAATCCATCTGTTACTGGAACAGGTTCATCTTGTAAACTCCTCAAGTACTTTCTAGTCGGTCGAAGTTCAAACACTCAGGAATTCCGTTTCGTACAACAATATGGAGCGCACTGTATACCCCACTCACCCAACATAGATAAGAGAATTTGACAAAAGCACTTTCATGTTTCTTCATGATAATTCACAGTCGAGTTATCAGAACATGCCCCGTAGATGTACATTTTATCTTCCAATGAGAGTTCTATGAGAATATGAACGTGTTTTCTGACTAAGCGCAATTGACCAGGCCGCACAAATTAACCTGTTTCATACCTTTCTACCCCACCTTCAGACTCGCAGAGGACCTTCAACATGAACAATGCGCCAACATCAACGCACACTTTGTCAGCCGAGATAGATCAGACAGATGTGTCATCCAATAAATCTCATCCTGATTGTGCTTCCTCTCTTTTGCCTCCGTTTCCTGTCCAATGTACAAAATCCACAGCCCTGCAACGGTACCGTCATCGCTGTCTCATCATGTGTCCACGCCGCTTTTTTTGTTGTCTCACTCAAAGAAATTCACGAAACATGTTTTCGAGCCACACATTCGACGCACACGCTCACTTACTTCGCCACACCATCTTTCTTCCTTGTTTTTTAACTTTCGTTCGTTCTTCAGATCACTTTCTACCATGATTTTATTCCTTCTCCGCAATGGAATGATAATTGCGCCAGACTGTCTCCATCCCCGCTGCTTCTCGTTTTCTTTTTTGCTTTTTAAGCGCTCAGGTTATTCAGAACTCCGCCCGCAACAATCTCTTTTTCCCGATACATCTGACGATCGAGATGTTAAAAATAACAATGCTAACAATAGTAATAATAGACATCATGAAATACGAACACTACGCTACCTGTCAGACTGCATTTTCACGTGGTGTGTATGAATCGGAATAGTAAAAATTCGTATCTGACGTTGCTCCTTCACTCGCGTGGTTCCTTTCCACGCTAAAGCTACACTAGATTTGAATAGATGTGTCCAGTTGCCGACCACGCAGCGGAGCAAAACGTGAATCCGATATCTGAAAAGGGGATAGTCTTGTTCTAACACCGGCCATCGGGTTAAACATCCCTCCCCCCCAATGAAAACCTCTTATGATCTTTTGATGGGACACCGTTCATAGGGTTGCTGACTAGCCATCGACTGCTCACTGCTAGTTTCATTCGTCTCGGGGCGAAACTGGCCGTGGGCTATCGAGCAGTTTTTAAGTGGTGTGTCCCGCCAACACTTGTAGTAGTTCGCGCCAGGTCGTTTTCCTCTTTTGTTATTCCCCTGATAACAAAGATTCATCCGGTGACCCAAGATAACTTAGCAGTCGGAGCCAATGAAATCATGCAAACTACGTGTACTTCGATTTATCCCGCATCGGGCTGCGAAATTTATCGTCATTAGCTTACTTCACAAAGGACCGGGAGAGTCCGTGATCCTACTCATCCGAAACTGAAAACAGCGCCTTTATCGTAGTGCTTGCTATATTCTGAAAACCTTAAACGCGCAACCACCTATAATACTCGTTGTCTCCAACAACTGGTTCTCGTACAGCGAGTGTGGGTGGGAGAGATTCGCATCAAATGAGTGCGCTGATGGTGCCTGATAGTGGCCCGATACCAAACTGCTAATCGAACGGTAATCTCAGTCTAGTGTGTCCTGCAAAACGGCATTGAAAATGGTCGGTTTTGCTAATGAGGTCAATCCAAGAGCAGTACTCAAAACTGGTAAGGACAAGTGACCTAAATTTTAAGTCATGATGCGCGATTGTCCCACAAGGGGATAAGGAGAATACCGTTTTTCTACTGGTGTTTGGTTTAACATATAGCAGTATGTTTTGACTGGTCGCCTCACTGAAGTCTTGTTACCATATCGTATAAATTAACCCGTTGAGTTGGAACAAAGTGGAGTCATCATATGCTCCAAAGAATCATTCCGAATCATGTTTTTGTACTACATTTCTCCCGCCACCCAACCGCAATTAATGTCAGCCCAGCAAGCAAACCTGAACTGGCGCGATGTGGGGTAAAATGTAGCCACAAGTATTGACTACCCAGGTCTTAGAAGATGATCGTCCGCGAAGCAACCTAGAAGCCGATGACCTACGAAAGTCTGTTCACTATTTTTGAAACAGTTAAGGCGGTGCTCGGTCAAACAGTGTTCCCAGCCGGGTTCACAGAAATTCCTGCTGCACTCATAGAAATACCTGTAGAATCAGTGACTAAATTTTAACGCCCGAAAATGGAAGGGGCTGCACTTCGCTCCGTGCCTTAGCGTTCTAGGGGCACACCGTTTGGCTACTCATGATAATATGCCGTCTATATTTCGTCCTGCGATTAAAACTAATTTAGCCTAGAGGCGCCGTACCACTGTTTCACCCTCATTTGATGTGATCCCCTCAATGATCTCTAGTTAGATTTGAACTCATCCTCCCAGTCGGAATTTGAAGACCAAACTTTTCGGCCACGACCGGCTGAGTGTGATTGACTTGTGCGAATGATAATATTAAGCCGCTTGGTGTTAGTGAATACTGGTTATCTATTGAGTTAGATACTGCAGCGGCGTGTAATTGTATTGGGGAAATGGGACCATCGCATTACGTAGAAGTAAAAACTAGGTAGGGATTGCTGTCGCAATGTGCTTCAAAAGGTGGTGATGTCACTATCTGTGTAACCTTGGAGGTAGGCACACAGGCAACCGATTCTTACGATAATTCCTCACGAACATTCAGTCCAGTTAGATAAGTCACAGCATCGGTAGATTGTAGGGGCGTTCTTTGAGGACCAGTGGGTACCTATTATCCCGAATTGCTTGTTAGAGTGTGATCAGTCGGTCATGTGACCCCAGACTATTTAAAGCGCTGATCGGGCAAATTAGCTAACATATATTCTAAAAATACACATTGGTCTTCAACCTTAGTATATATATATATATATATATAAACAGCAGGATCTTCTCACGCTCGAATTACATAGTTTCACAATGACCTGATCTGAACTATGTGTACACCACAAGCGCACTGCTAATGAACTCTAAAAGGAGCGAAACTCAAGCCCATTGACTCACCAGACTAATTGTGCCAGGATGAAAGGGGTTTTTTCCAAACAAGAGTGATGAGAATGTGAATTCTGTAAATTCCGCAGCGACATACAACTTATTTCATTGTGTTTGAAAAATAATTCCTGTGGGCGCTTCCTGGTTCGCTGACAATAACTCTTATACATACCTACACCTCCATAGAAATTTTACCCGACTGTGAAACCAATGACATCCTTTTCGCCGTAGTGGCATCTCTTCAAGGAAATTACTATATTTTTACGAACCTGCAACTTGATACGAGTCCACTGAAAGATGCGCTACAGAAAAGCTCCGTGTATTTTTGCTGAGACACATTTGTACTCTCTCTCTCTCGCTATTCGGGAGAAGGGAGCGTCCTTCCACTACGGCAAAAGATGATCGTGAAGGCAATAGTTCAACTGTATAGCATCTTTTTGTGAGGTAAATCTAACTTTTTAAAATTTGGCAGCTGTGAGTTCGTATTCTGAAAGGCGGCCATTTCGCAGCCAAATATTAGTTGTTGTTATTAGTATGTTACTGAAATATGCCCAACGAATCATCGCCATTAGGGCAGAGCCGGTAGATCCAACAAAAAATGAATCAGTAAATGTTGGTACGGGGAACCCAGTTTTCCAATGAGGTGCAAAGGATAAAACTTGGTTTCCAGGTAACAAAAAATATTCGCTCTCGTACAAACGGGGAATAAAAAATACAACAGAAGACTTAGGCGCCACACACATCAGTCTCAAGCCAAACCTGATGTGTCACTAACAGCGCACTGTCGGCGGGTGAAGGTAACGTAGATTAAGTTGGAAAATTGTTTGTCACTTCGGTTTTGCTCGTATTTTGGGTGGATAATTTTCTGGTTGCAGCCCCCGGATGGAAAATAGTCTCGCCGCTCGTTCTTGAATCGTACCGCCACATTTCAAACCACGTGCAACCAGGGATTCCTTGAGAACATCTAAACCGTAAGACTCCAGGGAATGTGCATCATTAACCTGGCTCAGCTCCAAGTCGGTTAGTGGTTTGGCGGCAGGTTTTGCGGAGGAGTGCTCGTCAACCAGGCCCGTAGGTTGTCTTTTAGCAGAAACTGGTAGATTTTTGCCAGCTATTGGATAAAAACGGAAAAACCGGTAAATAACTTATTACGCGACGCATAAACGAATCTTGACTGTTGATCAACTGCCATTTGATCAACAGTTAGTAAACTCACCCAGGATAACAACATCTGGACGTACTACCTAATTATAGATGCAACTCCGCCAACGGGAATGAAGCGATAGTATAAGCCAGTTTGGTCTACATCACGCACAAATATAAAGAGAACCTCAAAGCCCACGAGACGCGGGAGTTAGATAAGTGACTCCATAAATCAAGCAACACCACCTGCAACGCTCTGGGGGTGGTGAGGAAGGTTGTCAACACAGGTTCGTGCTTCCTGCAGGTAAACTAACGTTAAATACGGCCACATCATACGATGGGAATTTTTGTCTCCAACCAGTCTACGATGAACCAAGGGCGAACAATCGATGTTTTCACACCTGCCCGTCTGTGGGTGCCGAGACTCACGAAAGATAACATATTTCTCTGCAAGATGAACCAATTATGCACAATGGACTAACGATTATCTGTCGCAAGTCGGCTAGAGAACTACATGCGACAGTTGCCAATGCGCACGTCTCTATTTTGCTGCCCGAGAGGATCATGTGGATAGATTGGCAACTTGTAACACCAGTAATCATCATCATCATCATCAAAGACAGCAACATCAGTGTAGCCACTGATGCTTCACTGCCGTACAACCATAAAGTTCGTCTAGTTATATATATATATAATTGTATTAAAAACCCTACGGTGAAGAGAAGAGAAAAAGAGTGGGTGAGGGAGGGGACCTAGTGCTGGCCTATGTCAAGCATACTGAGGTGCCTACACCTCCAACCGCTCAATCAGACAATCTGGAAACTCACAGCACGAACGCCACTGACATCGATTAGCCGCCATTTCTTGCAACGTCTCCAGCCA